TAAATCACGTGTAAATACGAAAATAGAATTTTACTCAGAAATTTTACCCGTCCCCGAGGACTGCTTGTCCAACAATGTGCCCGTCCTCCTTTGAAACTAACCCGTCGCTTCTAAATAAATAAAAATATAATTTTATCTTATTTACTACAAACATTTATATAAATTGCACAATGAATTAGTAGTTACTAGGATTACATTATACAGTAATAAAAGAAATACTAGGTTACTAATAGTAAAGCCTAGTATTTCTATTATGAAATAATTTATTTCTTTGATGAAATAATTTAAATAACAAAGGTTAAGTAATCTGTCAATTATCATGTCAATTTATCCGATGGTACTGCGTTTTTTAAATGAATCAAATATGACGTTAGCCAGTTCCACAATCAAGCCAATGATTTACTGAGGTTTCTGCACAGAAATCTGAAAGAGGTTTTCCATTTAGGTAGATGTTCATAAATGCGTTTAACGCTTCTTGTTTAAGACCAGTAAGTAATGTGTTTTTTTGTAAGTTCATTGCTGAAAAGCCCCTTTCAACCGCTGCAGGTGAATACAAAAATCGATGTTTGATATTAAAATGCAGCGACGTCTGGATTACAAAATACGAGCTATCTAGCAGACGAGTATAAATGAGAAGAATCATATTTTCTGCTCCTAAAAACTAATAGCTAAAATAGGATTCGTAAGGGTTAGCAGCTACGTAGTTTGAATTTTCTATATATCTTTCGATCTATTATATCTATATCAAATCGGGAATAAATTTAATTATTTTATTTCAACGACTGAATTTTCAGAAAAAGCGGAATATTTATATATATAAAAAAAAACTGTAACTTTAAGAGAATTGGAGTTTTTGATAAAAAGGCTGAAATTCGAGAGACAAAAGCGAAAAAGGCGGAAATCCGCTAAAAAGCGGAAAAATCTCATCCCTGTTGTGATTTTATGTTTGCAGGAAGTTTTTCATTTTATCCAAGTCCGGAAGATAATGTTTGAGAAACATAATTCGAAAATTCAGTAAACTTATATCATCAATCACAAAAAATTCCATAATCTATGAATATTTGTAAAACAATAAGTCATTTAAAAGCTTTACCATTAGGGAAAAAAATTAAAAGGTAATTTCTGTTACATAGCATCAAAAATACTTTAAGTACAAAATTTACATGTATTATTCAAGGTTTGCATGATAAAATCACTTAATTTTTTTCTTAAGCGTCGATTTAAAACTGATTTTTTCATAAACAAATAGAGTCAAAAAAATTTTTTTATAATAATTTATAAATATATTCTTTAATGTTTAGATTTAATTAATATTGAAGGTAAATTAAATTCAATGTTTAAAATTAACTAAATAATTAATGAATGTAGATTTAAGTGATGTGAAGCCTTTATAATTATAACTTTCCTTTGTCGGAACGTAAAAAATCTGCTATCAAATAAACATATCCCAATTACACAATTTTAATTTTGTTTAACACAAATATTTTTACAACTTATTAAACACATAGTTTGAGGACATAAAAAATGAAGAAAAAAATATTTCAGTTGAGAGTATTTTTAAATTTTTTAAAAAAATTTTCCGATTTAATTTGATTTACTTTTCATTTGACATTTATTAGACAAATTCTGACTTTCTTTTCTAATGCATGGAAGTTTTGAGCTTCAATAATAATAACTGATTTAGATAATCAGAAATAAAGATTTGACTTTTTCAGTGATTAGTTTTTAACATAATTTTATATAATTATTTGAACCATTTTTGTTAGAAATGCAATGAACTTTAGTTAGAATATTGATTTTAAATAAAATTAAACCTCATAAATACATTTTGTCAAAGCTTTAATTGGTATGTGAAAAAAAAACTGTTTTAACAAAAAATCAGATTTGAATAAAAAAAATTTTTTTTTCAAAAAATGATTTTTAAAACTCATGTATTATTTAACAACTTTGTTAAATGCAGTGAATGAAATTTAATTTTCAATATTTGTAGGTACATACAACTAATTTAAAAGAATACATAGTTTAGATTGGAATATACTAGCCTCGTCATATATAACATATTTATAGTTTAGTTAATGTATTAATTGTGTATTTCATCATTATTTACTTCATTTAGTATTTTTTGTATGCAAACAATGCAAATCTATTTTGTCTTTATTTCAAACTTTAAAAAAAAAATTTTTTTTGGTTCTAAATTTTTGAAAGTTTTCTTGGATATTTAATTATTATTTTCTTTCGTTTTAAGACCTAATTTAGGATTACATAAATTCTAAAAATTTATTATGATACACAATTTCAGAAAGTTTAGATGTAAATAATGAATTTACACCTTTAGTGTTATTAACTTATTACATCATCATATCTGGCTAGACAGCCCAGGGTGGGCCAGTGCCTTCCTTTGAATTCGAGTCCACTTCTCTCTGCTTTTGACACTTGTTTGCCAGTTTTTCTCCTTTAGAGAAAGGAAATCAGTCTCAACTAAATAATGAATTTACATCTTTAGTGTTATTAACTTATTACACAAAACAGTATATAGACAGTATGTCCCCCCCCCCTAAAAAAAGCTTTAATGCAAATAGCATACTGAAAACCAATAAAAGTTTTTAATTTATAATAAAAAAAAAGTTGTAAATTTTTTCTTTAAACATTAGTAATAAAATATGTATTTATTTAAGAATTTTTGCATCATGAATTAAAATTTGGCATAAAATTTTAAGAAACAAAAATATTATACTGCTGTATATTAATTAGAAAATGTATTAAAGTAGATGGGTATAAAATTTCATTAAATTTTTCTGATTTATGTTGAGTATCATATTAAGAACTGAATTTAAATTTTTTTTAAAAATAATAATAATCATTAATTATAACACCTTATACTTAATGGTAAAATATATGAATAAAACTCTATTAAAAAAAGGTTTTAATAAAATAACATTTTTAAAACATACAAAGTGAACCTTGGAATATGGAGGTCTATTATTAAAATCTAATTTAGCTGCAAATATTTTTAAACAAGGGGTAAATTTTTCCTAATATTTTCGAAGAGAAAATAGCTTCCTAAGTAGCATATATAAATTATCACTTTTTTTACATACATACCTTAAGTACCTACCATTGCTAGTCTTCAAGAATATATATAGAAGAATATTTTATATTACATTTCAAAAAGTGCACCGTTTAATAACTAAATTTCTGTAAAATTGAGCATACAAAAAATTTCTGAATGCTTCTTGATGTCTAGGTGTGGTTATCTCCATCAATTTAAATTTATTGCAGTTAATTTTTTTTGCTTACTTAACAATTTTATTTAATGGAATAGTAATTGGTATAAAAAAGAAAAATATCTCTCTTGATTTGCAATACTCTAGAATAAGTTTAAAATTTATCAGAAAAGTTTACAATTAAACATTTGTATTTACTCATTTTTGCCAGCAAGGCAAAAATAAATCTATGACGTTCACTGTTCTGCTGCATTACTTCTCGTACAGGTCTGACAGGGTAATAGAGAAATAACTCTTTTATGTGTATTTCTAATAAAACATCTTGATATTAAAATTTTACTATCATGCTAAGTATAGTCGTAAAGTAATATATCGACAAACTCAAAATCTCCAATAATTCTTTCATATCACATTAGCATATTTATGGAACAAAAGCGTATGATTTTTAGTTGTTTATTAAAAACGTTAATAGTTATTACTCAAAAGTTAAGGTGTAAAATATTTTTTAACCTTTCGTTTAAAAAAGAGAACTGTTTAATCGACTGATGGTTCTGCACATAAAAAGTCGTAATTTAACCAGCAGTCTTCTCCGCATAGCAAAACCAGTTTTCCCATGTTAATAGATAGGGAATTAGTGTATAGGGAAGAAATATTCTCCCATTTGCTAAGCCGCCAGAGGATTAAATAAAAGAACAATCCTGTTTTATATAAATATAAACAATGATTTAAACAAACAACCTTGTAGAAATTGAAATTAATTTTGGTAAATTACTTTAAAAAAGTAAAACTATAATCCATTGAATAAAATAATTTAAATCAATTCTGAAATTGAAAGGAAATGGCTACAAATAATATTAACTTAAAAAGTTTTATTAGACCAAATTATTTAGCTTCTTTCTACCTACACATAAAATAATTTCACAAATATGAGTACAACTTAAATTCTAGGTTTTTTCACAAATAACCTATGAAATGAAATTCATTAAGAAAGTTACTTTTATACTAATAATGATAATACATTATTTTTTACATTTCATAACTTAAATAGATACCTGAAATAATTCAATATTTTATTTTTAATATAAGTTATGGAAGAGTTGATAATTTCTGTTAAAAATTTTGTTTTTTTAAATTTTACTTACTTGAAATTTTTATATAACCTTCCTAAATTTTTTATATAACTATAAATAATGAAAGGAAAGAAGAAAAAAAAATAGGTATTTGAAAAATTATTACACATTATTGGTGCAGAACTAAAATCTTTACAGAACAAATAAAAAATGTTTTGTCACTTTCTTTTTATTTTAAATGGGCCATTTTTTTTTTTAAGTTAATGCAAATGAACTAAATATATTAACCTAGCAAATTTTAAATTAATTAAAAGTTATACTACAAGTTATAATATTTATAAAGATTTTTCATTTCTTAGAAACTTTAATTAAAAATCGAAAGAGTTAAAAATAATTATAAATTTGAGATTTGAATAAATTTTAAATTCGAATCAATCAATTAAGTTAAATTTTGGTAATGTGTTTAATTCACATCATAAAAACTTAAATATATTTGCTCTGAAATATGAAAACAGGGATATTTAAGAGTCAACTTTTCGATGTTAGTTTGTTGTAATTCACTAGAATAAAAACTGGTTAACTTTCATAAAAGCAAGTTAGTGAATTTTTAATTTAGTAAAAGGTTGAAAGGTAAAACAACAAAAAAGAAATGTTTGTAAAAATTTTAAAATACCCGATAATGTATTTAAATAACCAACAACAAAAATAAAACTATAAATTTATTGAAATTTTTTTATAATCTTTAGAAAATTTTATTTTTACATGCAGCTGTCAAACACAAACAGCAAATTATATAAATTGAGAATATTGTGATAATAAATCGTGAATCAAACTATGTACACATAAAAATATTTTTTACAAATAATATGCATAACTGCAATTCAAATTGAAAATAACAATCCCTCATATGGCACACAATTGTGGTCCTAAAAATGCATAAGGTAAATAAAATACAATACTTAAACATTCTAGTACATCTAAGGTGCAATAGCAAAAAAATATTTCATAATATTTAGAACAAGCATAAAATATGTAAAGAGTACTATAAAGAAAATGAATATTTGTTTTAGAGATATATTGCAAATTATGCCTACTAAAAATTATGTTTCATTAACTTTTACTACAAAATGTGAACATTTAAAATATTTAACATTTTGTTCTTTAAACTTTAATAGAAATGGATAATAAAATGTCAGAAAATCCCTTAAGTTTTGGTTTTAAAGATATGTAATATAAAATGTATTTATCAAAATTTATGCCTCACTAACTTTTGCCATAAGCTCATCACATATACCGCTCAGCTTATAATTTTCAATTCGAGCTTGACTTAAATCGTTTTCCAAAGATGACACTTTAAGTTCAGATTTCTTTAACTGAGCATTAAGGACTGCAAGTTGAGCATCACCGCCTTTTTTAGCAGAAGCAACTTCAGCATTAGCTTTATCAACCATTTCACCCATTTTCACTTTTAACGTTGCATTTAGCTGTTCCTCTTCTTCAAGTCTTTTAGTCAGATTTTCAATATGCGTTTTTAATTGATCTTCGTTGTCTTTGTATGTTTTTAACATGTCTTTACACTGGACGTAGCGCTTGTGAAAATCAGAAAAAGTGTGCTCCACACTTTGAAAATCTTCTGTAGTGGTTTTAAGATTAGTGGTAAGCTCTTGATTTTCTGATTCGAGATATTTATTTCTCGATGATAATTCACCAATTTTGACATTCTGTTCCGAGGCTATGGATTCTAAATCAGACATAGTGTCAAGGAGAATCTTACACAACTTGGTAATTTGATTCAATTTGTTAACATTCTCGCTTCCTTGTTTTAAAGCTTCTTCCTCGAGTTCTTTTTGTTTCTTTAAATATGCTTCTTGCATGGTGAGTTCATAAATTTTCAAGGCCTGTTGAAATTCTTCGTCTGTATGAAGCTTTTGCTCATTTTCTGAAGTTTTTACATTTTCAAAATTACATTTAATGGGTGAATCGAATGACAACAAATTACCACTCAGTGACTCTCGAGTGAGGTGTTTCTTTACAATCTGCTGATTTCCATCTAAAATTTCTTTCTCTACAAATATGTTGTCTTTATCATCACTAACTTTTTCAGAATTTTTTTCTGAACTACCCTTTACAGGTGAATCAGATTCCAACTTGCTATCAAGCGTGTCTTGGTCGGCAGGGACACCAGTCGCAGGTTTGTTTACTTCATGCTGATCATTTTCAACTTCATTTGAACTGCAAATTTCTTCTTTTACAGGCATCTTATTTGTCTCACTTTCATTTTCAGTATTACCATCAGGATTATTCCTTCTTGGTGAATCAAAAGACACCAAATTGATACCAAGTGGTTCTTGAGCACGTTTGTTCACAAACTGCTGCATATTTTCAACCTTACTAATTCCTTCTTTTAAGGAGTCTTTGGTCAAATCTCCAAATTTTTCAGAACATGTATCTGAAGAATTCTTCATAGGTGAATCTTCTAATTTGATACCAAGGGATTCAGAGCCAAAATTAAGAGAAGACTGTTTGTTTATCAAAGACTGATCATTTTCAACAATATCTTCTTTAGAATCCGTATTGGAATTAATTTTAATGGGCGAATCAAAGGATACTAAATTTATACCAAGAGATTCACGAGCATGTTTGCTCATTAAGTGATTATTTGCGGCAATATTCGCATCACAAATTTCCTCCTTTACAGTTACTTTACCAAAATAAGCATTATCTTTTTCTTTCATGTCCACAGATTCAACATCAGTAGGTTGTATAACTCTTTTATACAATGGATCAAAAGTCATATAAAGTGAGTCTCTGGGCATACTTATATCAGAAGTTTTAATATCTTCTAAGACTTGGAATGAGGACGGATCTTTAAAGAACTGGACAGCATCTTGAAACTCTTCTCCCTCAAGATTGTCATCAGGTTCAACTGGGAACGAATTATCAAGAGAGGTATTAAAATCATTAGGCACATTGCTGGATTCAGGCACTGGTAAAGGACATTTAAAAACATCATCAAGAGAAGTTTTAGTAAAAATAGAATTATTTATATCAGATGCATTTGTATCTAAACTTTCAACATTAGTATTCATAGATACATTAACTGGATTGGAACAATTAAATGATTCATCAGGCAGCACTATATTTTCCATGTTAGGAACATAATTTAGATCAGGCAGATGAAGTTGCGGCACATTTTTATCAGGTGACGCTGAAATATTAAGAGTTTTAGTATTCGATCCATTTGAATTAACATCCACTTTAGATAGATTGGTAAGCTGTAAATTATCATTTAATGGCACTTCAGTTGGCATTGGTAGGTTACATGAGGTTTCAGTAGGTGCCAGATCATTAGGTAAGGCACTTAATTCTGCAGATTGAGCATTTCCTGCAGAGTTCAATGTAAGACGTTCAAACATAAGAGTAATATTAGTAGATGTATTTAAACTCGCATCTTTAGAGTCGTTTAAACTATCACTAGTTGTACGAATTGAAGTGCCAGGAGTAGTAGAAACTTGTTTTTCTTCGCACACGCCATTAGCAAACTCGTTGTCCACTGACTCACAGAAACTCTTAACTAATTCCGGCGTAATTTTTTCCAAATTTTCACAATGAAATCCACTATCAACCAAAGCATTTTTTTGCGAAGTCGAGAGACCAACGGGTAACAAAGTATCAGCAGGAGAACATGGGGATTCGGGTCCAGGACATTTTTTATCTGATTCAAAATTAAAACTGTTATTAACCATATTAAATGAGGGACAAATGTTTAACGACGAAGGGTTTTTATTTTCATCAAGCTCGTGTGAAGCAGTGCCGGGATTTAATTCCTTATTTTCAGCCATCTGTATTGTTGCTTGAAAAGCAAATTCTATTAAAGAATTAAGAATAAAATCACTAGAAATTTAATAATTTCAAAACACCTATTTAATAGAACAAAATCATACCGCGCTTTAAATGTCACAACAATTTCTGAAGAGTGGAGTTGTTTATAGGTTATTTCAAAATGTAAATTTTTGGAGCGTAATATCGTAAATTGAAAAAGATTTGCACAAATTTATTCAGTTTACGTTTTTATTGTTTGAACATTCTGTAGTTCAACAGCTATAAAAGATAGTATTTGTTTTTCAGATTTTTTCAGTGCAATATTATAATTCCTTAAGAATAGCTGCAAATTTTTTGCTGTCTCTTATTCTAATATTTATATTATTCCTTTTCTTTTTAAATAAAATTTTGAAATTATTTTTATTTAATGCGAAAACTAATTGCAATATTTGTAATTTTTGCTGCCGCGCCCTCTTATGGTTAAATTACAAATTAGGCCTGCATCAGAAAAATGTTCCAGTGAGAAATATATGGACATTTTAGAATCTATGGACATCCATTCAAATCAAAACAAACAATCTTATTTATATTTCAATAAATTTGACAGTTTCAAGTTAAATTGTTGTGGTAAGGAAATTACAAATGCAAGTATTTCTATTTTTAGAAATTTTCTCTAATAATTAATTGCTAAAATGTTAAATTCTTTATTGCTTATGCATTTAGCTTTTAGTATTCAAGACTAATTTTGAAATGCACCGTATCTTGCAAATAACCAGCTACTGTTACGTTCAACATATATTATTTTTGTTTATTATAAAAAAAGTTTGTATAAAAGTGGGTGGTAAGAACGAGAAATTAAATAATAGAAAACCATTCAACGTTTTTTCTACCATTAACGATACAATTCCAGTTGATCTGTATTTTTGATACTAGCAAATTAGATTTATCTAATAGTTTTCTGTATTTGAGGGAACTGTTACCATGCTATTTTTATTTTCAGTATATCCATTAATACTATTTTTATCTTTTTTAATAACAAAAACCTGTCTAGAGGGAATCTTTCCTTACCGATATCTGTTTGTGCCAACTGAAATTAGAAATATTCTATTTATTGCAAGTATAACTACTAGGCTGTGGAGCATTTAAAAACAATATCGTTTAGGAGGATATGATATAGAAATATCTCCTGATTTGTATTTGCATGTAAAAAGATTTTTTGAAACTATAACAAAGCATTAATTTAACGTGTTAATCAATGTAACAAAGCAGTCTTCTGAAGTCAATACTACTAACCTGAAAAAGTCTTTTCAAATTTACGCAATTTTTGGAGTTAAGAACCCATTTTTTCTGTAAATAAAAAATAACGATGAGATGAAAAATAACCAATCATCACATTGTCTGAATTTTGACTTAAATAAAAATTGTCCTCACTGAATTACGTTTGCTATGAGATTTGAAAGTGAAAAGGCTGATTCTAGTTTATATAATGATATCCGGTCGCATGCAAATGGAGAGTAATGATAAAATCCAGACCATGACCAATAGTCTAATGCAGCTCTATAGTGCATTTACGGAAATGATAGACCAAATATTACCATAGTGGTTACCAGAATTTTGTCTGGGTTAGTCACTTTTGAGGATTTTCTTTGAATATTTTATTTTAAAGACTTACGATAATAAAGAACAAGAGACGACTTATTCTGTTTGTTATGAAAACATGCTCGATGCAGAATAAAGTGAAATTATTTAATAAATAATTTTTTCATAAACTTATTAGGATTAAATATTGAATTTATAAAATGATTTTATTTGAATCGGTTATAAATTTTTATTAATTATGACTGATTGATTAACTTTATATTAATCTATATTGTAAAAGGAAATAAATAAAATGGTAATGAAAAATGCAGTCATGAAATTTAACATTATTGATTTGTTGACAGAACTTTATATTAATAATGAAATAAAAGTATTGTTGTTATAAATTTTTTATATAAATAACAACCGATTTTTGTGTAAAATTAACCAAAAATGAGCAAATTTTATTTCGTAGTTCTGTTCATGGTTTTTAAAATAGTTTGTCAAATCTGGAGCAGTTGGCATTTTTGGGGGATATTTCTGTTTCAGGATTTGATCTTTAGAATCAAGTGCGATCACCAAGGCACCAAATAGATTTTAAATTAGCTATTTTTTTTTTTATATATAAAAAACACAGAGGTATCCCAGAGAATGACTTTGAGTTATACTCTTCGAGTTCATTCTTTCTGTGATCCATTTTTATCAAAATTGTCAATCTTTTCGTGGTTAAACTTCATTATTTTTCTTCTTGCTCTATATTTATATTTATTGATGACATTAAAAACATTAGCTGTATGCACAGCAGTTGCACGGGCTGTATGTTCAGCTACATCCAACATTGTGAGATCAGGAATTAATTCCAATTAAATTTTATAGCTGTCTAAAATTATTTATTTCTCCGCTTTCTATAAGTCGCTATAAAAGCGCGAACGTAAAAATCATGAGTGCTGAGAAGAAAGAAATTCGTCTTGTTAAAAAAATAATTGAACTATACGTATATATGGATAATTTTTTAAAGAGTTAAAAAGTTGACAAACTAACCTCAATTCCCCTTACATCTACAGGAATCTATAAATCCTTTTTGTCATGGTGTCTAAAATATTCTATTCTGTATTTAAAATTTTTTATTCATTTATTTTTTAAAAATTTAGTTGTATATAGCAGAATAAGTCTCTATGATTATGATGTTATGAAAGTAGTGGACTGATATATTCTGAAGAATATGTTATGTGTATGAGAGACAATAATTTTGTTAAAATTCTGTTATATAAGATAACATTTAAAGTTCTAACTATTTTAACTTTCAGTGCAATAATAAATATGTATTTTTCGTGTCAGGGTCTTTTTTTCGTATTTTTACTTTATGTAGTATTATGTTCAAGAGCAAGGTTGAAAATATAATAAATGTCCAAAAAATATATAAATAATTAAAAATAATTTTTTTTTTTAATTATTTAAATTGGATTTTTTTTTCTGTTTGCCAATCAAATTAGTGTAAAATGTATTAAAAATGTTTAGGAAATTATTGCTAAGTAAAATTTGTAATAATCCTTTGAATGTAATAAAAATAAATGCTATGTAAATTTTGTCACCATTTTAAAGAACGTAATTTTATCTGGCAAAATAAAAAAATTGTATGAAATAGGAAACATCATAGTTCCTAAGCAATCAAATTTTAAAAATACAACTTTTTTGAAATTTGATTTCTCAGGAATTATTTGACCAATTTTGCTAAAATTTTGTATTTTGTCATGAAAATTACACTCTTTAAAAAAATTGTATGCTTGACAATTCAAATTTTTGACTTTTATTAAATGAAATAATAAATAATTATAATTATTTTGCATAGAATTATCTTTGGATAAACAAATTGTATAATTGTGTGCAAAAAGTAAAATTAACATTAAGAGATCCCAACTTTTGACCACTTTCTTGACCATAATTTTGGGACCATATTTACCAAATTGCAGCTACCCCTATATTCAGGAAACCAAATCTGTCAGCAAAAAAAAAAAAGTATGTTTATTCAGAGAAAAAATGTTCTCTTGTCTGATTTCATAACTTGTAATATAGTCTGCATTAACTAATTAGCATTTTTTGAGGTCACCTCTTAGAACCATTAAGATTAAGCCCTATTAAATTAAAAACCGATCATTAAATCAAAAATTATTTGGTGATTCATTTTTTTGAACATTGTAAAGGAAGTTTTTCAGAGGCTTGCTCGAAAGAAGCATTGCCTTTAGCAAAATTGGTGAGAACCAAGGGTCGATTCAAGTGAAAATGGGGGTCCCTTCACAAAATTCTAAGAATTAGCCAATTAACAAAATTCAAATTTGTAAAAATATCATTTTTATAAAATTCCAATCTGTAAAAATGGCCCCTTTACAAAGTTTTACTTTATAAAAATGACTGTACAGATTTTTTTCCTTGTGGAATTTAAGGATAAAATAATTGGAAAACTTTGTGATTTTGCAATGATACCATCGCAAATCTAATGTGAAATTCAAGTGTCATTATAGCATATTTAAAAGCTTGGAATTTAATAAGAACCTAGTGGAAAAGATTTATTTTATTTTATGACTGCCGTTGAACAGTCGACCCAATTTTTGGGTTTACGACTTCTAATGTTCAACGCCGTAGCCTTGTAATTTTGAACCAATCTAGAAGACAAGGACACTCCTGGATCGGTACCCCCAGAGGTATTGATTTGTTATGGGAACATGGAGGACTTTGAGACTCGACAGATTTAACGTGCATCAGTCACCATTTACTACACGGGGAGTCTTTGACCGGCGGGAACCGAACCCACGAACTCTTGGACATGGGCCCGGCACCCCACTGACCAGGCTATCCCGGCCTTGTAGCGACAATTTAATTTTACATAGATAAACTAGCAGCGTTACATTACAGACTCAAAGGATGGACATCGACAATAACAGTACAATATAAAATAGCTAGTCACGTCACAGGTATTTTTTATTTTATTTATTTATTTATTATTTTTTTTAAAATTTATTTATTTATTTATTTTTTTTTTACATTTAACATAAATGGCCATCACGGGTAGCTGAAAAGCTCCGAACTCACTGTCTGTCCCCGGGGACTGGGAGCAGGGACAGTGGTGTGGCGTGCGTGGTGATCAGTCACGTTGGCTGCTATTGTGAGCCAGTCCGTGGTTGATTGTGTGATACGTATGTTTTGTTTATGTTGTGTTGTGGGTTTTACCTATTTTTATTATGAGTAGTAGTAGTTGATGCAGTGTTTTGGTGGATCATCATGATATAAATAAGTGTATTATTGTGTGGAGATCGAGCTTGTAGGTTTTATTTATTTATTTATTATTATTATTATTATTAGCCTCACGGACAACAGCTTGTGTTGACTGACTGCCTGCCAAGTGTTTACTGGTCAGGGATGGGGCCAGAGTGTGTTTTTATGCTGCAGCAATGGTTTGCTTGGAGTCCTGACACCTCGTGATTGTATTTGCTGCCAGTATTTTTACAAAGTTATTATTAGGTTTATGACATATTGTCTGTGATGTTCCTGGTTATGGCTAGAATATTTATTAGTTTTTGCATAATATGCTTGTTTTTGAAACTGTCTGCAAATATCGTTCTGCCTTGTTCATTGGGTTTTTTGAGGTGGTATGATTCAGTTAGTGGGCAGTCATGTAGGTAGTGACTTGGGGTACCTGTGTCATCGCATGGGCATGTGTCTGTGTTTATTCGCTGCATCCTGTGTAAGAATGAGGGGAAGAAGCCATGTCCTGTAAGGAATNAAAAAATTTTTTTTTTTTTTTTTTTATTCTTTAAATTAGATTTTTTTTTCCTATTTGCCAATCAAATTAGTGTTAAATGCACTGAAAATGTTATTAAAATTTTTGCTATGTAAAATTTGTAATAATGCTTTGAATGTAATAAAAATAAATGCTATGTAAATTTTGTCACCATTTTAAGGAATGTAATTTTATCTGGCAAAATAAAAAATTTGTATGAAATAGGACACATCATAGTTCCTAAGCAATCGAATTTTAAAAATACAACTTTTTGGAAATTCGATTTCTCAGGAATTATTTGACCAATTTTGCTCAAATTTTGTATTTTGTCATTAAAATTACATTCTTTAAAAAAATTGTATGCTTGACAATCAAATTTTTGACTTTTATTAAATAAAATAATAAATAATTATAATTATTTTGCATAGAATTATCTTTGGATAAACAAAATGTATAATTGTGAGCAAAAAGACAGTAAGAGGTCCCAACAGTAAGAGCAGGGGTCTGTCTAGGTTTTTCTGAGAGGTACCTATTTTGTGAAAATTTAGAAATAATTTGTGAAAAATTAAAAATTATATTAAAAAATAAACACAAAAATAAGGTAAAAATATGGATTCATTGTTTCTTGAAGGATACAAAAATAAAATTTTAAGAAAAAGTATTTTGGGAAACTACCGTTTTTCCTAAAATTGAATTTGTGAAACTACCGTTTTTCCTAAAGTTGAATTTGTGAAGGTACCGCTAAATGGTATTAAATTCGGCCTAGACAGACCCCTGAAGAGTCTCAACTTTTGACCACCTTCATGATCATATTACCAAATTGCAGCTACCCCTATATTCAGGAAACCAAATCTGTCAACAACAACAAAATAGATATGTTTATTCAGAGAAAAAATTTTCTTGTGTCTGATTTCATAACTTGTAATATAGTCTGCAATAACTAATGAGCTTTTTTTGAGGTCACCTCTTAGAACCATTAAGATTAAGCCCTAGTAAGTGAAAATCCAATCATTAAATCAAAAATTATTTGGTGATTAATTTTTTTGAACATTGTTCTGGAAATTGTAGTGGAAGTTTTTCAGAGGCTTGCTCGAAAGAAGCGCTGTCTTTAACAAAAATGATAAGAATCGAGGGTCGATCCTAGTGAAAATGGGGGCCCCTTCACCAAATTCTAAAAAATAGCCAATTAACAAAATTGGAATTTGTAAAAATATCTTTTTTATAAAATTCCAATCTGTAAAAATGGCCCCTTTACAAAGTTTTACTTTATGAAAACGACCATACAGATTTTTTTCCATGTTGAATTTAAGGATAAAATAATTGGAAAACTTTGTGATTTTACAATGATATCATCGCGAATCTAATGTGAAATTCAAGTGTCATTATAGCATATATAAAAACTTGGAATTTAAAAAGAACCTAGTGGAAAAAGATTGAAAAAATTATAAATGCAGCCAAAAGTTTTTATCCTATGACATGGAGATGCTATCAAATCATTACGATTCGAATGCCTCAAAGAGCCTAATAACTCTATATGCCTAATGACTCTATATGCCTAATGACTCTAATTTGAATGTCCTGATAACATCCTATTAATAGTGTCAGAATTTGAAAAATCATGTGAAAAGGATATTTTCGGTAAAAAACTATCGACAAACTATGTGAAATTATGATGGAATCGTGACAAATTGAACATGTTTGAAATTTGAACGCTGTAATGACATGGTATAAAAAATTTTTAATTTGAAAAGCGACAATGTTAAAATGGCTTAAAAATGATAAATAACTTCTGAAAAAACTATCATCAAATAACGGGAAATTATGATGGAATACATCAATTTTAATCAAATACTAATATACCTTTTGATTTTATCCGACCAGTGAATTTTGGGTTAGTCACACTATACAGACACGTGCCTGAGGTAGCCCCATCACAATAATTTTTTAGTTGGTTTGATTTTTACTACTGATAAAATTTGTGTTTGTGCTAATGATTATGGTGAATTAGTTTATTCCTTTCATAACAATAATTGAAAAGATGTTCACAATTATGATAAATTTTTCCAGGATCGATTTTACATCACTTGTTGTTGGAGTGTATTATTCTGTTGGAACGTGCAGGCTTTTTCATTGATGTTGTTGGAACTGATGGGGCATCTTGGAATAGAAATATGTGGAAAAAATTCGGCATTACCTTGGAGTCTGTTAGCTGCCAACACATGTGTGATGAACTTAGGAGGCTTTGGTTTCTGTCAGATTTTCCCCATCTAATCAAATGTCTTTAGGAATATAATAGTTGCTTTAAAGAACTTAAAGGTAAATTACGTACATGCAATTTTTTGAACCCTCGTTTTATAAGTTGATACCATAAGCCTAGTTGAACCTCTTTAACTTGAATTTTTTATAACATGAATTATTTGTAATTCCTGGTGAAATTGCATAACAAATTATATTATGTATAATTAATGCAAAATGTATACATATGTACTGTATAATTTTTATTAAAACTAAACATAATCAGAACATAAGCAAATGTTCTGTGCTCTTTTGAGCTCATGTTTACAGTGTGTAACTGTATATAATTTAAAAATTTGTCAGTTTGAAAATGTTTATATATTTTTAACCTGCTGATATAATAAGAAACACTAGGGAAGGTAGTATTAATTTATATGTTTATAAAGCTGAAAACATTTTCTAATTATCATATCAAATGACAATTTAGACACCAGATGGTTCTCTATTAAGCTATCATTCTGGGTTGCTGTTATTGAATGTGACAACTCTAAATTCTATAGTTTGAAAGTTGGTCCGAAATTGACACCAGAGCATGTGAGGCCAAAGTTTTACCAAAAAATGAATGTGGCTTTAGCTTTTCAGGTAACTTAAGATCTCTTTAAGTTTTCTCATCGTTAGAGATAACTTTATTTTAAAAAAATATTTCATTTAATTTTTTAGTGCTACTGTTGCTGCCGGAATGGAATTATATAAAGATCACTCAGAAAACTTTAGCTGACAGTGATGGAACAATTACTTTTATTAAGCGTGTAGATAAGCTAATTGACATCATGAACTCAAGGATCTCTACAACAGCCTTAAGACCAAATAGTTCTGACTATAAAGTAAGAAATTTCATACTATTTTATTCACTGGTGTCTGTTATTATGTTTCATATCGAATGAATTATGAATATTTGGATTTTAATTCTTAGAAGCATCAATTTTTTTAATAGCACATTCAAGATTTTTTGAGCTACCTAAATGAGTGGGAGACATTTGCTCATAATTATCATTTGCAGAATAATTATCATTTTATTTGTCAGTCTACTTATTGTGGGTTGAAAGTTACTTTAAACAGTGTTGATTGTGCTCTGGAAAAAATCCGGATTTTTCGCTAACTTGGGATCCGGAAGTTTCCGTAGATAGAAGGTTCAGACGTTTCAAAAAATCATTGATCACAAAAATTTCCGGAAATCAAATTTTCAAAGGTGGAACCAGTTTATTTTATTTGTTTGTAAGGGAGAGCCCGAGAGATACTTTATAAGCTTATATTCAAGATTAATATTCATTTTTTTTGCCAGTAAATAGTTATTATAATCATAAACTCAAGAAAGAAAGACATATTTGTAAATTTCAATTACTGCTCCAGGTCTTTCATAGGTATGTGTAAAATTTTAAATATATTTTAAGTAAACTAAGAAATGTTGGGAAAAAGGAAAAAACCTTGTTTAAAATTTTTTCTAATTATTCGATTTAAACTTTTTTTTACTCAAGAAATTTTCCGGAATTTCGACTTGGGCTCACAGTCACCATTTAAAAGCTACTTTGGAAATATTTGAATTTTTAACTAGACAGTGTAAGTCAGCTACTTAATAACTGCTCGGTTAAATCAAGATTCGTTAGAGGTAATAAAAGAATTAATTTTATTATAACTTATGTTTGAATTGTTACATTAAAATTAAAAGTGTTTATTACGTTTTAGAAATTTTTTTGGCATCATGTGAAATGCTTGTGAATCTAACAATCATCCCAACCCCAACACTTCCTTTCAGGTGTTTCGCTTAGTGGGTATATAATCCCTAATAAAGCCTCCAAAAAATTCGAATGTGTCTGGAACTGAGTTGTTAGAGACTCTGGTTGATTTGCAGTAGACACTCTAGCGACAATAAGAATATATTTTGGGAAGAGAAACTGAATGCAGTAATAGATAAGTGTCTTGATATTAATGAATTTTGTTTAAATTTGCAAGAAGAATGTGACCACATACATGCACCTTAAATTCAAATGATGTTGTTGTAGGTTACCTTGCAGGTTACATTGCTAGGCATGCATCCAAATTCACAAATTGTTCACTTTGCCAAGCAATGTTAACCGACAATATTGAAACAGGTTATACTAAACTGATTAACATTAAAGATTATGGTGGTCTTGCAACACCTTCTAAAAGTGTTTTTGTGTTTGCTCAAACCCTTGAATCTCAAGGGATGAAGGTTTTGAAATCAAATGGTGTTAATGTTAACACATTTAATTCCATTTGTGACAAAATTGAAGATTTACCACAATTGCCTTTCTGAGGATGTGATGAACATAAACACAGTTTTACATCTGTCATAAATTTTTTTTCTCACTGCAAGAATGCATTTTATTTGTGATAATAAGATTGAGTCATTCAATTCCAATAAAACAAAACAATATAGAAAATTTATCTAAACTTTAAGACATTGCATGTAAATTTTTACTTTTAATACTACATGAATATTTATAGCTTAATTTTGATTTGTAAATTTATCACACAAACTTTTTGAAGGTTAATAAAAGTTTCTCTAACAGGGTTGCCACAGGCGACTAAAATGCAACTATTTTTGGTATGAGGCGACTATGGCAACTTTTTTTGCCTGAAAAGGCTAAAAAAGCAACTATTTTCAGGGCAGAGGAGACTGTTGGGAGACTTTTCTGTACTCCTAACAATGTTTTTTCAGAATAAATTAGGTTCAAAATCTGCAGCCTACTATGGCTTTTGAAGACACTGAACTTTTTTTCTTAAAAAATAAAAAATTTTGAATTGCAAATTTTGTGTCTTCATTTTTTAATTCATCTAATCTTCAGATTCCTTTGTAAGTCTATTTCGTTTCTCAGCCCCCTTTTAAATGGTTATTGCTTCGAAATTCCGCATGATTTAATTTTTTTTAATACGATATTACGATGAGAGAATTTCGAATTTGAGTAATCACTTTTCACAATATATGTGTGTGTATATTTATATACGAGGGTTGTAAATTAAATAGTGGCAATTTAGCTTTGAAACTCACAGAAGGGCGGGCATGCGCAAATAGGATATGGCATCGGTTAAGTGGCGCTCTTGTCGATGTGTAGAGTGCATAAAACAGTCGATCTGCTTAGAAGGGTAGTTTTTATGTGGCGTTAAAGTGAGGAGTTTCGTTTCCATCGCTCTAAAGCATGTTTTCAAAAGGCTTAATGACGAAAAAAGACCAGATGCTTGAACCCATCGTGCTCCTGTCCTATACGGTAAAACATTTGCACCACAGGCTTCCACTAATCCTCGATAGCATTCTGTTGCATTTTTGCCACGGGCAAGCTCGATTTTAAGCCACAACCGCTGATAACCTTTTGAAAACATTCTTTAGAGCGATGGAAACGAAACTCGTCACTTTAACGCCACACAACAACTACCCTTCTAAGCAGATCGACTGTTTCATGCACTCTACACATCGACAAGAGCGCCATCTCACTGCTGCCATATCCTATTTGCGCATGTCCGTCACTTTAACGCCAACTCGTCACTCAACGAAACTCGTCACTTTAACGCCACACAACAGCTACCCTTCTAAGCAGATCGACTGCTTCATGCACTCTACACATCGACAAGAGCGCCATCTCACTGCTGCCATATCCTATTTGCGCATGCCCGCCCTTCTGTGAGTTTCAAAGTTAAGTTGCCACTATTTAATTTACAACCCTCGTATATTTCCTAGATAAATTATTGATAAAAGGGAAAATTGTTCTAGAATATTAATGTTTATATAAAAAGGATCATATTTGCCACCAACAGTCATATTTTTTATGAATTTTTGTTCTTATTTAGGCAACTATTTTTATAGTTTTCGGCTACTATTTTCATGCTTTTAGCTACTAAAAGTTAACTATTTTGCCCATTTTTTTCTGTGGCAACTCTGTAAGAATTTTCAAGATTTAAATATGATTTCATCTGAGCAACAATTTTTCGATTTGTCTCGTTTTCTCTTATTTCTATTTACTTAGCAAATAGTCAAAATATTTCTCTTATAAATAGAATATTTATTTTGTTTATAGTCTATAGCACACTGCTTTATAATTATGTTTAAAGATTTTTATTTAGATAACTTTAGTAATAGCTTCCATTATTTCTTATTAATTTTGCTTTAGTTTTTTTTTATTAGTTATTTTAAAATAATTAATATTTTACTACCTTAGTTTTTCTTCCTTTCTAAATTTTTCATATTAATTTTTTTTGTTGCTAACTCATTTTAATTTTTTCCTATATTTCTATTGAGCAAAATTTGAGGCTTGATTGGTGGGAGTGGAATCTCTTTCTTATTCTTCTATATTCAAAACAATAATCTGTGTTTAAACAAAACGCTTTATAAAATCGAAGTGAAAGTAGCATTATCAGTAGTAAAGTTGCCAGTTTTCAAAATAAAATACTTATTAAATTAAAATGTATAGAATTTTTTTTTTTTGTTGATAGTTTCGTTTTTCCCTCCTCAGTTTCATTTTTTGAGAAAGTAGTTTGTTTACAAATTGAAACTCTCTTAACTTGTTAACAAAAGTTCCAATTTGAATTCTGTTTATTGTGTATTCAGAAAAAAGTGAATTTTTTAAATATTACAAAATCCGAAATTTAAAATTTTTTTATATTTTGAGTGTCTCTTAAAAGTGAATGAATTTTATTAAATATTTTAACAAAATATATAAAATGAGAATGAAGTGAATAGTAGGAATTGAAAAAAGTGTGTAATATTAAAAATATAATTTTAGATGACACGTGTGTCCACGAAATGTTCTTTATTTAATTTAAAACAATGGTAAATCAATCAGAAAATTTCATTTCGTTTTTTTGCTCATATCTGTTTGATTAATGAATTAATATTTGAAAAATTGTATAAACATCATCCACTACAAGTTAAAAAAAATCTTTGAACTATTGAACTAGAATTTGAATAGTTATTTGAACTAGAGTGGTTGAATAAAAAGTATTTTATAAATAGTGGAAAATTTGGATAAGATATAGAGAGAGTGTGAATGAATAGTATAGATTGAATGAGTTATTCAAATATAATTATAATACATACTTATAGTGATAATAAGATATTAATTTTTTAATTCCTTTATTTTTCTTTAGGAGATAATATCGAATATTTACGATCAAATTGATAAATAATTTTTTCCATTCTATTGTTAATTGCAATATAATGGCAGGAAAAAAAATTCAAAACAAAAAACACATATTGTTCCAAAATTATAAATACTATTTAAAAAAAAAAAAAACTAAATTTAATTAAAAAATTTTTTTATTTATAATTTTGNGTATAAAAAAAGTACCGTTGTGAGTTTGTAAATTCGAATCAATATAGTTGTGTACAATGTATCAATTCTCAAAAATCATAGAAATGATGAAAAATCATAGAATCAAAAATCGTGTCACTTTTATGAAATTTTTCTTGAAAAAGTCATATCACCCTGTCTTACCCCACTAGTTGGGTAAGTTAGGGTACACATGTTAACTCTCTGTAAAAATTAGAAATTTACTAGAATTTCACTGAAAAGAATCGCAGAAATTTCTATTTTATTTCACAATTCAAGGAAAGTATGCATGTAATTTTAATTAATAATGCAGGCAATGTTTCAGACCATTATTGATCCTAGTATTATTTGAAAATCTGATCATTAGTTATTCAGAGTGTTAAGTCTGTAGATGCTGAAGATTTTTCTTTTTAATTTTTAAAGAGCAAACAAATGGGAGAAAATTGCATAGACTCCTTTTTAAAACATCTCTCTATATTTGATCTTATAAAAAGCTGAATTCAGAAAACAAAAAAGAATTTTTTCTTCTGTTAACGGCTTAACTAACTGTAAAGGGATTTATTTCATTTCTCCTTGTATTGTGTAAAATTTAACTTTCATTTAAACTAAAAGTTTTTATATATAATTTTTGTGGACCTTATATTTATGTTGACATTTTACTTCTTAATGTATTGATCTGTTCTATGTTGATTTCGCAGATAAATTTAGATGTATGAAGATTCTGCGGCTGTAAATCCCGCTACTTTTTTTTTTTAGGTGCACTGTGCACAAATATAGCAAATTTGTAGTGCAATTGAATAAAGACAACAAGGTAAACTTTGCAATGCATGTATATAATTTATTTATGAAAATTTGAGTACATAAATTAGTATGAATTAAGACCTTGTGTGAGACTGAAATAAATGTGCATAGAAATTAAGGCTATAGAAACAGCACTAGATGCTTTAACTGCAAGAATGGACCAGGCTCCTAAACCAAGGATAGTATGGAATAACCTAAAAATAATACAGTATGTACATTAGTTAAACTTTAAATAATATTATGTGTGATTAATCAAGTTGGAGCCAGTGGAGGTTTCAGAATTACTTTAAAATTGACCCAGAGGGTGGCCATCAACTCCTAAAAAGATCCCTGATCTTTTTATCAGTGGCATTAATTTTTTACATAAAATATATTACAAAACAGTTATCTATGCCATTAGAGTTGAAAAAGAAAACCAGATTTTCAGGTACTTTATTTTCTAGATTGATTACTTTTCCCTGCTTAGTGTCTAATTCAACAAAAGAAGAAAAAAAATTTTAACATCTAAAATAATTTTGTAAGTAAAAATAAATTAGTATAAATTCAATCATTATGCCTAAATGGCACCGGATTCGCAATGAATATTTCATAAGGATTTTAATTTCCATGAATACAATTAGACCACTCTTCTTCACAAGTAAAAGTTTGCTATTTAACATTATGGAGCCAGTTTCCTCTTAGGCAGGTTTAAATGCTTAATAGTTATGTTTTTGGAAAAACTGTTATTAGGTATTGATTTTGGAAATCAGAAGTGTAGATCACCTGACACTTTAAGATAAAAACACATTGGATTGACTTGGTTTTTGTGTTCTATAAGGAGTTTTAAAAAATTAAAGATATGGTACATGCCTCATTTTTCGACATAGTTGTCGAGTCAGTTTTGATCTCGTCATAGTGCTGAAAGTTTTGCCTGCAAGATATTTTTCACGTAAAGGTACAAGTGAGAGTTGCCGGGTGCAAGGTCCAGGCTGTATTGCATATTTGGTTTGAAGGTGATGAGCATTGTCTTGCAAAAAACAAAACTATATTTGTCAGAAAGTTCGTTTCTTTTTTTAAAAAATTGTATGCTTTTTCTATACCTTTTGCATGCAGACAACGTATGATGGAATACACTTTACATTTGGCACACTGAATTGATGCAGACGTTATAAAGACGTGCTGCTCAAACAAGACTCACCATTAAAAAAATGAATGACCGAGTGAAATGTCCAAGGTTATAAGTCTGTGTTACCAACGTACTTGCAGAAACTTTTTTTCTTTGCTGCTATCTGAGAAGTATCTTTACTTTCCCAAAACGCTACATACTACTTTCACACTATTAAAATGTGAATATTGATCATCATCTCTCAGCAAATATGACATTCAAAAATCCATGAAATAAAGTTTTTTTCTTAGATTTTGACTGAACTGAATAGTTTTTTAATAATTTCTTAATTATCTTAAACAATACTAAAAAATAATATACACATCAGTTAAGAAAACATCAATAAAATTATGATAGCTCAAAAAATTAAAAGTTATGTAGATTATCGTCAATGAAAAATCATTATTATTCTCACTTATAACTACAAAACTTAACTTTAAAGAGTCCCAAAACAAAAACATCTACTAACAATGATTTTTTTTATCTTTAATTCAAAGCAAAAACCAAAATCCTCATTAAAGAATTTATTACATTTTAATTAAAATTTACTCACTAACATTTGAATTATAATTTGTTAATAAAAGGTTTTTATTTCTCTGAATACAAACTGAATAGTTTCTAAGGTAAGCAAAAAACTTTAAGGTCATTACATGCTTTCTTCAAAAGGGAAGAAATTTGTTGGAAAAGAGGCTTCTTTAAGTATAGCAGGAACAAATCCAATTCACAGATTTAAGGTAACTTATTAAACAGCGTTGCCACTCCACAGGGGAAATCTGGAATTTGATCTGAATCTTGATTTTTTTTTTAAAAAACTGGGAAAATACAGAGAATTTTGTTTCTTATTTTTGTCTTTTAAAACATAGGGACCACTCAAAGCATAATCTATGGGATATTTAAGGAAGATATTTCATTTGCTATAGCATTATTTAAGTATGGCGTGCTTTTTTCCAGCAATTAAAACTAATAAATATAGTTAGCCCAATATGGCTCACACAAGAGCACAGTAATTGTTGTTTCTGCTTATTATATATTGCGTAGAATATCTACAGGGAAAACGCAGGGAATTTTTTTTCCAGATTTGAGTGGCAACCCTGTTAAACTTTTAAATAATAAAGTCCTTAATTTTGAGTAATAATTGAAAGCTGCAAATTATTTTAAAACTCATGTTTCGAGCCTACTACGGATTACTGATGTTTGCTCCCTCAATCGAGTCGCTTAGCTACTATTTTGAATTAACTAAAGGTGAGTTAAAGTACTTCTATCTAGATATCGTTTCTGACAAGAATTTTTCACTGAATCGAATAATCCAAATCTAACTTAAAGTTCTAAAGTTATCAATGGTTTTCAGTTTTATACTTATAACTAATTACACGTTTGACAATGACATAGACAAGCTATATATTACATTCTCTGTAATAACAGATGCTGAATTAAATAAAATTCTAATCAATAGAGCTAATATTTTAAAAATTCTAAGGATTTTATAAATGAAAAATACGTTTCTTGAAATTATATATTTTCTCTTTACAAATTCAAAACTATTCAGTTTGAGGGATTTAGTATAAAAAAAGTACCAAGAAGTTAATAACATCACTAGTCTAAATAAAAATCTAATGACCCTAAATAAATGTAAGAACACAACTTATACTTATTTACAGACTGATAGACTATTTACATTATTATAATTAAAATTTTTGAACTACTTGATTTCTTTCATACCACAGAAAAAAAAAATATCTTATTTGTCTAGATAAAAGTGATATTGGGTGAGGGGTAAACATAAGTTCATCCAAGCTAAAATGGAGTGGTGCCTATCCTGTTGGAACCACATGCATGCTTGTATGTTGGCTGCAACAGGTTGAAGTAACTCTGTAACACCAGATGTCAAAATGGCAGAAGGTATAGGCTGGTCAAATGGTCACCCACAATTCCAGTTTTTAACATTTATGCAGAAATGCTGATGTGCATGAGATATATGACATAAGAATAGCGAGATACCCAAGTGTGAGAGTTGTGCATATTAGAAATGCCTTTATGAATAAAAGAGCAATCCATGAATAACCTGATTTTAGTGTACATGCATACACTAAAATCAGACTGTGCTGCTAGTTTTTGCAAAAACTAACATGCAAACTCCACAAGGCAAGACATAATCTGCTCTGTGAGTATCAAGGCTTGAACTTCTTGTGACAAAAAAAAGAAGAAAAAATATTTCCACCCGTGACAAAAAAACATTGAAGAACACTTCCTGAAATTTCAAGGAAAAAAAAAAGTTAAGTATCATCCGGCTTGGTTTTTAAAAAGAGTGAAGGTGGGATGTATTTAATCCCATTTAACTTTTTAAACTGTTAACTATTCAGAGTGTGCTCCATTGGCTACAGGTTACATTACTCATCTTTTGGGTAAAAATTATTATTTAAAATAATAAATAAACTTACTCTGTTATCAATGGTCTGTAGCAACCTATAACTAACAGAAGCACAACAACAGGAAGATGAGTTTTCCGCAGATCATGGCGGCTCCATAACCAAACTAAAGTTGCGGTTGTGATATGATGAACCTAAGAGACAATACACGTTTATTATTAGGGTCAATAAATTATTATGATTTTGAACTGAATATAATTATTCTTTAAAAATAGATATCAAACTAGAAGTTAGGAATCAATCAGATAATAAGATTTATTGCAGGATTTATTTTCCCATTTTTTGGGGAATTAAATCTTTCAATGGAAAAAAAAAAAAAACATTATTTAACTTCAACTATTTTATATTATCTAATTTTTATGGTGATGAATTGAGGGGTTACACACTGATTTACTATTTTCAGCAAATTGCATTTGCTGAAAGTATCAAGTCAGTAGTTTAATAAATCAATGAATTGACTTATTATTTTACAAAATTTTACTCTACAAATTTCCTAATGTGTGGTGTTCCAAAAAATAACTCTATTTTTTCTTTGGTTTGATACAAGACATGCATAAAGTCTAGAACTTGGCAGAGATTTACAAATTTGATGATTAAAATTATATGGTACCTTGGGATTATCCTGTTGACCTGTTAACGCTCGCAAAAATGTGCAAATCCATTGGTGCCATCATAATTAAAAAAGAAATTTCCAAAATAAACATTCTAAATTCATTAAATCTGTCAAATAATAATAATAAAAACAAAAAAATGTAAGTGTAAAAATACGTAATAAAAAAGCGTACGTGATAAAACCAAAGTAAAAACCTCCATTTTTTTTTATAACTATACTCTAAATTATTCTTGAATATAACCATATATATTATTATAAATCTATTCGGCAGCCAAAAATTCTTGATAGCTTTTAAAGCGCAAACAAACAAGTCATAATCCTTCGGAGGAGTAAAAAAAATCTATTTTTAAACAGGTTAAACTTTTATCATTAAACAAGTACATTAAATTTAGATTAATTTTAATTAGTAATTAAAATTAGATTAAATTAAAAATAGTTTAAAATTAGGAACAGATTTTGAAAACAAATTAAATTAGAAACAGATTTTGAAAACAAATTAAGAGATATGAATCCATAATAATTAAAAAGGTAATATAAGCCACATTTTCAACTAATTCATTTAGGTGAGCGATTTTGGTTAAAAAACACAATTTTTCTGTAGGCGATAGGATGTTTCTGAGCAGCGTGCTATATCAGTTAGTTAAAATTCTGAAAATTAATAGAGCAGTTATCTGAAGCACAGTACAAAGGTACAGTTAGATATAGAACTTTTACCTCAGTGAAATTGTGACTTATCACTTTATTTTTCTAAGCTCTTCAATTATTTAACAGATATTGAACAGTAAAATACAAACCAAGCTAATATTAGAATCAAAACTCATCTGGAGATATTTCCAATCAAATTCAACACTTTTGGCACCAACCCAAAGAGGTACAAGTCTGGTCATGAGAAGTTCAGCAGATGCCCAACCAAGTCCAGCAACTAAAAATTTAGTTTCACCTTTTCCTGCAAATTTAGTCATTACAATATGGAGACCTATTAAATCTGCTACATCCACAGTATTCTTTAGTAGTTCCTGAAAGTATGGAAAACATATAAGTAACATTTAAGTATAACTAATTAAAAAAATTAATTCCATCAGAACATTCTAAAGCAAATCAACAATACATATCCTTTTGCACTGACGAAAATTAGTTATTTTCAGGCAATTACTAGAATCTAAATGACTAAAATTTGTCAATTGTATATTGCAACAAATAATAATAATGATAAAATACAGCATTTGGTCGATGACAGTGCAAATAATGTCGGGTGAATATTCAGGAAGATTAATATAACCATTTGAATCAAGATTTTTAAACTTGAACAAAAGCGATATTTTATCACAGTTGAGAACAGAGTTGTCAAAAAAGGACCTAGACAGTCAAAAATAGGTTAACAATCCGAAATCTAGGGTAGGGTTAGACATGAGAAAATTATAATACAAAGGTAGATATATATGTACAGTTTTATTGCATAGTCTCAACATGAATAAACTGAATACATAATAAATAATTTTGTTAAAAATAAAAAAAATTAAGATGTTTATATGGTTTTAAAAATGTTATATCTCAGGTTTTTAACAAAGGGCTTTATTCACACATAACTCATATATATGAATGACACTATAAGGGCTTTAATTTACTTAAAAGTTAAAAACATAGTTAAAACCTTCAAAAAGTTACTATACCTGGTTGAATCGTATAAATCAGTAAATGGTGGTTTATAAGAAAAATAACTAAAACTAATAAATACATAAATTATATAATCATTTTAATGAATGTATAATTGGGAAGAATCTATTCCCCAAAATAGACCTGAGTTGATTCTTGTTAAATGTCGAATGTAGCTCAAACTTGTTTCTACAATACACTTAGAATGAATAATAAATTTACATTAAAGAGTTCAATAGTAAATTTACATTTATATCGAAATTTGAAACAAAAGAACATTTTTTATTTGAAAAGGGTTAATACAGTAGTGATTCACTAACTAATATGCTTAAATTTATTATAAAAGTAAAATAATTTAGAAATTTAAATTTATTAAGTATACAAAGAGAATAAATTTTATAAAGTACAATTATAGGTAAATATTTTTTTCAGTAAATAAGTTCATTATGAATTAGATTAGCTTTTTTTTAATTGAGGCAGCATACAACAAACCATACGGTTAGCCATAATAAGAAAAAAAATGTCTTAAAAGGTTCACAAAAGTTTACAATTAACAAAAATAAAACTACTTTTTGAGACAAGACATAAAAAGTATGCCACTTACGGTTAGCACAACCTTGTGTTGAGATAATAGCTTTTAATTTGAACCTGGCGACAAAAATCTGTAGAATTTGTGCGTGCATATAGAGTAGGCACTAAAGATGCGACATTCAAAACGAAGTTAAGATTGGTTTTAAATTTTTATTTTTAATTTAGAGGCATTTTAACAATGAATTTTCTTATTGGTTTGTGGAAGCCATTGTTTTGAGTTAAACTATAGACGATAACATCAGCGATTTTTGCTAGCTTATAGTTCTAATCGAAAAAAGTTGTTTATTCTATGTCCTGTAATACTTAATTATCTTTTAATCATAAGCATTATTAGCAAATGGACTATGTCACTAAATTCGTATTTTAGAAGTTATCTGAAATCACATGTTTATTTTGTTTATAGGTAAACTTTTAAAGTGTGTTACTATAAAACCGAATAATTTAAAATCAATGGTAATTGGAATAAAACAAAAATAGGTTTGGCACTGAAAAGCAAAATAAATGGAGAAATAGTAAAAACACATTGAGGAGAAATGTAAAAAAAAAAACACCAATATTATCATTGATGCCAATGATAATTAATTTTAGTAATAGTTATTAATTGAAGGAAAAAAAAACTATGAACTAAAAAGCTAAATTAATGGAAAAATGGTACTTATTCATTTAAGAGAGAGTAATAAACTGACAAACTTATTATTAACGTCAACGATGCTTTATTAATTTTGGTTTTTAAAACAGTACACCTTTCAGTGCTATGAAAAAAATGAACTTATTTAAATAAAAGTCAACTGTGAAAAATGAACTATAAGTACACTTAAACTATATATGACAAAAATTAAAACATTTAAAAATCTTGAACAATAACTGAACTAACTAACACAATCTTATTTTGTCTGTTTCTAAAAATAAACTAATGAAAATCACCATGAATGGTTCTGATGACAGAGATAATTAAATACTGAAATTCATTATTGCATGTTTAAACATATCACAGTTAAAACAACTAAAATTCAAATACAAATTAAACCCTACCTAATTTTCAAATTAATTAAAAAAATTATTCAAGTACCTAACATTTTTATATATTATAAAGAAACATTTGGTAAATAGAATAAAGTCGCAATTGGCAAAAATAGAGTACAGTCGCAATTGACAATTAAGGTAAATTGTACCCGTCAAGTAAAATAAAGTAAATAGAAAAGAACTAATAAAATTATCAAAAGTATTAGAAATATTGCTTTGAATTTAATGCCAAAAATGAGGTAACCAAAATCCTCCCCCCCTTAAATTAAAAAAAAAAGAAACAATAATAATCAAGATAAAAAAAAATATAAATAAAAGAAAACACAATTTTTCAAAAGTTTCCTGCAGTTCCATGATTAGAACTGAATTTATAAAAATTGTAGAACAGTCAGCTCAGTCAAACAAGGCTATCTAACTAAAGGCCAATCAACAAGGCTAGAAAACATTAATAGGATAAAAGCGAATGAATATTTTATTTAATATATTTCTATTTCCTTCAGAAATTATTTTTCATACATATATACTTTTAGATGTAATGAGATGTTATTGAATTTCAGCAAGATTAAATGTACATTATAAAAACTAGTATGGATTTAGAAACCTCTAAGTTTTCCAGAATTCAAAAAGCTAGCATTTCAAATACCATGATTGCACATTTAATATTATTCTAAATAAAATCATAAAATTTTGCATATAAGTAATGGATAAACAAATTTTCTACTTAAATGCATTTATAAAACTTGAATCTAAATTAAAATAAATATTTGAAAAAAAACCTACAGTTATTGTTTCCATACGACCTAAGCCTGTTAAATCTGTGGCTGGAAAGAATGTGGCTAAAGCAAGCATTTTGCACAGTTGAGTGAACAGATACATTGCTCCTGCTTGTATACACTTCCAAAACACACCATATTCGGCTCTAAAAAGATTTACACAATTATTAACTATATTATTAAAATTCACAAAAGAACTCTGCTTATGCAGACTTTCATATACAGCAGGGATTTTTTTAGAACAAAATTATATTTCAAAATGAATCTATACATGTAGATAGATGTATGTGATTGATAAAAATGAAAGAGAGTGATTATAAAGCTGATGATAAATAATTATTACTTTCAAATATAATTAAAGCAAGTTGTTGTGACTCAGAGGTTAAATATTAAATAATTTTACTTAGACAAATTAGCCACGTTTTTTTCTTGTCGAGAAGCATTTTCCTGTAAAATAACGAATCAGTTTAATGAGAGGGAAGAAAGTCTTTCTCAAACTGAACTAATTGATAAAATGCTTTCACACAATTACATTTAAAATATAACAGTCGTAGATTGATAGATGATTCACATAAAAAGAAAATACTTATTTAAAATTAAAACAAAAGCCCTAGATTTAAAAACATGCACAGTAGGCAGACCATTCCTCAAATGATATACGAAAGTATTAAGAAGTTATCTTTTGATCACTTTCATTTACAAAGTAATGAGAGTTACATGTTTCATACATTACCAATCTGTGAGACAAATGTTCATGAATCTAAGATTAAGTTAACCATGAGTTTATTATTATAATAGCAGGTATTGAAAAAAAGTTTAACAAAACAGGATGGATGCGATTAGAGGAAAAAATATATTTTTTCCCTCGAACCATGATTAAAGGTATTGCAGATTACTGTATTTAATCAATGTTTCTTAAACATTGTGTTATGTTACACACCATGATCAAACACTTAGCCTTGTTTTTTTTTCCCAAAGGTTTCTGTCATTTTTAATGGCCATGTTAAGAATGCTACACGATTACGAGCCCGTTTAGAAAATTTGGTTGTACCACACTATAAAGAGAAGACTGTGATTTTCTGAGAGGTACCTATTTTGTGAAAATTTCAACATAATTTGAGAAAATTAAAAATTCTATTAAGAAATCAACACAAAAATATGGTAAAAATATGGTTTTATCGTTTCTTACGAGACACAAAAATAAAATTTTAAGAAAAAGTATTTTGTAAAAATCGTTTTCCTATCCGTTTTTTGTGAAAATCGTTTTTCCTAAAGTTGAATTTGTGAAGGTACAACTAAACGGTAGTAAATTTGGCTTGGACAGACCCCTGGTGTGGTACCACACTATAAAGAGAAGACTTTCAGCCAAGTTAGTTTAAGATGAATATTACAGGATATAACAACTAGTTGCGTATTTGACTCTTACTATCAAAATTACAACTCCCAGCTCTCCACCAGCTTAGAATGAAAATCTTTCCGGTATTAACTTAGAAATGCCAAATTTTAGGAATACTAATTTTATATAACAGAAAAATGTTTCAAAGTTACTGTATGTTTCACAGACCATAAAACACCTATTACCCAATGTCTTAATTACAAAATTAGAATATTATTTATCCATTATAATTAAGTTTCACTACAGCCATTTATATGATGAAAATTTTTTATGGCCTTATGAAATAGATAAATGCTAAAATATGAATGTTTTTAATTTATTCTAAGCAAAAAATATCATGATTTTTTAAGTCGTTTCCATTTTGAAAAATGTTGGTGATACTGATTAAAGCAGAAGCCAGATAAAAAACTCTAGTCTTTAATAAAAATTGATCAAATCTCAAGATGAAATTCTAAATAAGTACAGCTATGCAACTACAATATTTATCTATGCATTAGATGTAGATACCAGTTGCTTCAATTGATAACAGCGAAAGAAAAGCAGAAACATGTTTACCATTGAAATTTGTTAAATTTTAATAAAGGGAGCTGGAGCCAAAAAAAAATTTAGATTTTCGATCTCCAATAGATAATAAGCTAAGCTCGACTGAGGCCCCCAAATTTCAATAAGCGTGTATGAACACTTTTGAATTTCTATCTGTAATTTGAAATTTCTTTTAAATAAAGAACAAAAACAAGTAAGATAATCATCAGCTTAAACAGAAATTATATATCCTAAAACAATTAAATCTAATAAATCCTCCTTTATCATTTTAAATCATTATAAATGTATTTTAATGCCAAGAATAGTTTTTCAACCACAACTTGGCTAACAGGCAATGTCATTACAATGTGGCAAGCCTTTTGAATGCCTGTGGGATCCAATAAAATTACTGGAGCATAGAAAAATTTAACGCACCAGCTCCAGGGAAAACAGGGCTCAAAAGCACTTCAGTTCTAGTGTCCTGTTATCAAGACACAAAACTATAATGCATTTTACAAATTACAATTTTAGATTTTAATGAGAGAAAAAAGGAATTAAGGGGAAAGAAGGTTAAATTTTAAAACAGAATAAATTAATCATTTTGAAAATCTTTTAGCATTATCATAGCTCACACATGCTTGCTATTTGACCTGAGCAAAGCTTAGTGCTAACACGACAATATTACTTTAAATATACGCCAACTATTAGAATGAATTACATTAGACACACAAAGATATTCTTTAAAAAAAATTATAGAATAGAAACAGAATTATAATGACTAGAATTCAGAAATGATAGAATTTTATAGGTGTTTTCGTTTTAATTAGATACTAGCATTCTCAATAGTTTGAAAGATAAGTTTCAATAGCAAAAATATTTAAAAACTAAAGGTTAGTACGTAAAGTCAACAAGATTCTTACAAGCCAGAAAATTTATAAGTCATAAAATAAGGTGCATAGGCAAGTGCAATGCAGTTGCCAAAGTGAAAAAAAGTCATTTCGAAGCTTGAACAAAACTCTTATAAGTAGAATGAAATAGAATTTGTAATAAGGTCAAAATTTATGACAAAACAGGAAGTGTAACTTATTAAATAACTTTAAATTTTGGATCCGATTATTTCATTTTAATATTTATTTTTTTATTTACTCTGAAAGCTTTTTACTGACGATTTCTGCTTACTTTAAAGATTATTTGCGAATTCTGCTGAAAAGAGAATATCTTCAGTTGAGAAGCGACAAGCCACTAAATAAAACTTCTTATTTCCTTTTAATATTATTTAAAAATACGTTGGCATCAATCGCAATGGTTTTTGTTTTGCCGTTTTGCGCTTGAAACAGTTTAAAACATAGAATAAAATCAGCTCGAATTTCTTCAGATATCTTTAAATGTCTAAAAATTTCAGCGCAGAGCAGGTAACTGCAATTTCTGAGACATTTTATTGTACAGTATCATGATAATGATTAAATAAGACTCTAATATCCGTTGGCTATCGTACTTAATTGGTATTAACTTGTTGGTATGCGCTAGTGAAAGTTATTTTTCATTGTTTTTTCTTGAACTTTTCATAAACTATATTGAGATTCTAATTGTTTCGTAAAAGAATTACGCTATAGTGAGAATTTAATATGTAGTTATTTTTTGTTTTAAGCTATAGGATAATATATCAACTCAGAGCAAAAGGATAAATAATATTGTTTCCTTGTTTTAAATAAAAGTGAAAAACGTCTACAATTATAAGAAAAAAATGCTTCTACGTTATTGTTTTATTTAGTTAACTTTTCTTATTATTTTAATTCAACAATTTTAAAATTTATGAAAGTATTTTAATAGATGTCTCCCTGAAATATGCAAGTGATACCATGCTATACAAATAAACTCTACTGCATTTGGGAATATCCAGTATTTTTAACTAGGAGATATTTTAGAACTGTTTTAGATTTATTTTTGACTGTTTGTTATTTCAATGCTTTTCATTTATTTATTATATTATAAGCTATTGTTATTTAATTTAATTTGATATTTGTATTTCTTTTATTTATATTACTTTTATTTATTTAGTATGAAAAGTCTTATGTACCAGCTCATTTAAGCCAATGGGAGGTTCCGAAAAGATTCCAAGAAGTATGTATTAGTTTAATTTGTAATTTAAAGTGCTATATAACTATTAGAAACTTTTTTTATAATTACTTTGACATGCTTTTATATATTTCTTGATGGAAAAAAAAAGCTTTGAACAAGGAAAAAATTAGTAGATAAAACAATTTAAAAATGTTTTACACAAACTAATGCATACACATACGTATTCTTCTTCACACCAAATCGGAGCAAAAGGCTTCTATCATAGCTTTCCATTTCATTCTATTTGTGGTCACTGATTTTGCCTCTCTCCATGTCTTTCCTATTGTCTTCAATTTATTAACAATCAACCTGCGTTAAATATTTTTATGTCTTTTTTTTTCTATTGCCCTGAAGGTTTCAATAAAAAACTTTTTTTAGTGTAAATTTTTACTTAAGTACGTTCACGTAGAAATGACTGTTTCATTCCCATCTAAGTTTTTTAATCTCCAGCTCATTCGGTACTTTCACAACCAGGATTCATATCTATTGGAGGGGACATATTTGGTAGAAGGCTTTTATCTATTTCAGAGAGATGTATCTGCATTTCAGTTTATGTAACAAATAGGCTTTAGCAAGAGAGGGTTGTTCACCTTATGCTCAATCCCCAACCTGGCTGGCCGGGGACTGTTTAGGTGTTGCTAAAACAATAAGGAATAATGATGTTCTGGATGTCACATGGCACATTCACTCCTTTGTGCATCCATACTATATATACTATGTGTATAAATGAAATGCATCAATCATTGAACGCATTAGAATAACTAATTTACAACAACACAAAATAAACATTTTGAAAATAATCAATTTAAAGCATAATCGAGATGCATGATATTTATAGTACAAACCTTATTGTACACATTGGTGTAGACTTGTGAAATTTCTATCAAAATAAAGGTAATACAAATTTTATATTCCATGAAAATGTTTTTGCCACCTAATCAGTATTCTGCCCAAGGCTTCAGCTTTTCTTAATGGGGCTCAGAATCTAGTTTTATTTAAAATTATCAACAAAAAAAAATTCAAATCTTAATTAGCAGTTACTTTTTTATCCATATAATGCAAAGCAAAGAGTAAGGTATATTTTTTGTATGTTAAGTTAAAAATTTTGATATTGTTACCTCTTAAAATGTTGGCAAACAGCTGCAAATCAATAAGGGTATTTAAAGGTAGCCAGTGTGTTGTGCTGAAACTCTCTATGTATATACTTCTCTAACAAGGTGACAAAGATAGTTCTAATTGCATTTTGGCATTGGGAACAAAGAATTAAAATATCAAACGTGTGAGCTGTCATAAGCTTGAAAGCATAAACATATATGCTTGGGAATTTCAGAATGAAATTTTTTTTTCTGCAGACACCGAAAAGATAACAAACTGAGCAGTTATGTTTTTGCTTTTTCGTAGCTTAAATATTAGTTTGTGACCCTTAATGATTTTATTTTAAGTTCATTTTTGACAGACATTAAAAATATTTAATAAGGATGGTAATTAAAAAATAAATTGTATATATTCTTCAAAAAAATTTTTTTCTTCATAATTACCTTTTCCCTATATTTAGTATCCTCGTAGAAGGGAAGGATGTACAGTGGCAATAAGTGATGAAGATGGTCGTTTCCTGGATGGTGTAAATAAACCTACATTTAAAGAGTTGAGTCCATTCATTGGCACTTGGGGCAAAGATTATCCTAGACCTGGTTAGATTTATTTTAAATTTATTATCTAATTTTTCTTTTTAATATTTCTCTAAGCCTGTATTATTAAAATTAAACATAAATAATTGCATTATTATTTGAATTTTTTTTAAATTCTAAATGAAGAAACAATATATTTAGTTGTTTTCTGTGCTGTATGTGGATAATAGATTCCATTATTTCAAAAATATATATTTTCCTAAAATGTATGAATAATGCTATTAGGTTAAATTATAATAGAGTTATGAAGTTCTCGCAATTTTATTTCATTTCAAGTGTTATAATTGTTTTATTAAATGGTGCAAGTAAAACTAATTGTTCTTTTATCTTTAACTGAAATTTTGACCACTTTTTATTGACTAAACAATTTAATATAAACAAAATTAAAAAATAGAAAATAATGAAGATAAATAAAAATTTTAAAAATTATGATCTTTAAGTATGCTAAGAAATTAGAACATTATTATTATTATTATTTTTGTTAGATGAAGCAAAAAACGTAGAAATGAATCGAAGAACTTTACTAACAAAAAAAAGAAGGGCTCAGAAAAAAATTGAAAGCAACAATAGGATGTCCAAATTTTTTAACTTAATAAATATTTTAGGCATTTCCACGATTTTATTTTATTCGTGGCATGCGAAATTCGTTAAAATTTGTGTTCAAAAATATTTTGTAAATATGAATCTATGCCTGAAATATCTTAATACCCTATGTGATTTCATAAAAATGATTTTAATCATATTCACAGAGACACCTGTGTAAAATCATACTATCTAACCCCGGAAATGCCATTTATCAGTAGTTAATCAGAATATTTTAAATGAATTAGAATATTATTATAATAAACTATATGTTACTGTATTTTTCTAAACTGACTAAAATAATAAATTATATAAATATTCTAAAATAAGGAATTAGACTATTCTAAATAACTTATAAGAATATTTTTTACCAGTAGTTAATTAGAATATTCTAAAAGATTAGAATATTATAAATTCTAAATGAACATCTAGAATTTAAAATATTCTAATGTTATAAAAATATTTTTTATCATATCAGCAAATTACGATTTCTTACAGTCCCACCAAAATGGAATTGCTCTTTTGAAGTAGTTAGTTAGAATGTTCTGAACTAATGATTCATTAAATAAAAACTGACTCAATAAATGACACACGTATGACAGATGAATATTCTAAAATAATGAATTAGAATATTCTAAATGATTAGAATATTCTAAATTCTAAATGAACATCTAGTGGAATTATTCTAATGATATAGAATGTTATAACAATAGTTTTTATCATATCCAAAAATTATAGTTTCTTATTGTCCATCCAAAAGGGAATCCCTCTTTTGCAATTGTTAATTAGAGTATTCTAAAAGAATCATATTTTATATTCTTAATGAATTATATTATAGATTATATATATAATGAATTATATTCTAAATAAGTAATATTATTCTACACTAATGACTAACTGAAAAAAAATAATTAAATAAATTATGCACATATGAACGATCAATACTCTAATTAGAGCATTTCATTAGAACATTCTTAATTCTAAATGAACATCTAGAGTGATGAAGATTGCTTCTTACTGCATTAAAATCCTATCATTAGATCAAAAATTTCTTTGCATATTGTTTCCGTCCAACTAAGCTCATGTGTTTTTTTCATCTAGATGCAATCTATAGTTTTTGTTTAAAAGGCTGTTTTTCGAAGGCTCCGTCGTTATATGAAATGAAGCTTTTTTGCGAATAATATACTATTTTTATAACTGCTGTAAGTTTGCAATAGTCAAAATGGAGAAACACCATAGTTTTGTGAAAATGAGAAGCGTTTGTGTTCTAAATTTATACTATTTAAAAACTTACGCCAATGCTTCATTATGCTGCTCATAAAAATGTGAAATACTGAGAAGAAGGTAGTAATTTTGATAATTTTCATAAAGGTGGAAAAATGTTTGCCAAATTGTTAGTTTTTTAAAAAGTTTGATATCTTTTAAAATATTTAAGTTGTTTGTATGTTCTAAAGCCCTGATGATTCTTCACGGCAAAATTATATATATAGTTTAAGATCATAACATTGCTTCAATTGTAAGACACTTAAACTATGTTTTTTTTTTTTAAATTTTCCTTTGGCGACAGAGCTTCAAAAAACAGTGTTAATTTGACATTTTATCATCTTTTTTTAATATAATGTTATTGTTTCCAGGAGGAATATCCTCCGTGCGAGTGAATCCTGGTGTTTGGATGATCAAGAGTGGCCGAGCGAGATGGGTTGAAGCTTTTGCTGTAGAACAGGAGTGTTATTGTAAATGTAGATAATATAAACACATTAGATATCTTTTATTCAAAATTTATATGTTATCAAATCAAAGAACTTTATATAATTATTTCTTACATAAGAATAATAAAGAATGATAACAGTTGCTGAATAATTATTACCAGATTTTACATTTATTATTTTGTAATTTGCATCGTTTTAATTTATACTCTTGTTTATACTGTTAGTGCTTTATTTTCTTCCTTTTTATTAACTATGGGGTAGACCAGTGATTCCCAAATAGTGTTCCTCTGGGATTTTGTGGAAGAGTTAAAAATGTTTCGAAAGTTGGGACCAGTAATGATTTTAAAACTATTATATTTAAATACTATAATCAATAATACATCAATTATTTAATATTTCGGTTGCCTTTATCAAATTTTTACAGAAATGCCAATGAAAGTGAAACGGCAAATCTTTTTGGAAAAAAATATAATTTTTTCAATAACAATATATTGAATAAATTACGAAAAGGACATGTATGTATAAAAAAATTCATTATTATTTCCCAAAATAAAATAACTAAATTCTCTAATGAAGAAATATGTTTCCCTAATAACGATTTTTTCTAAAGTTCGATCCTTAGTCGCAGCTTGAAGCCCACCGAGCTTCAGATCGATGGGTACCAGCTTGTCTGGGAAGTAAAGGCGGCATGTGCGCAGTGCGGATCACGTTGCTGCAATCATACCGCTGGCCACGTAATTCTGGATCCTTAACCTACACGATGCCCCTTTCCCTAAACAGACTGCTGCGGGAATGTTTTTTAAACCCCTTAGCGCACAGATTTTTTGAAAAAAAACGGCCAAAGAAATCAATTTTTTTTAATGTAAAAAAACACACTTTAGAACAAGATTTCCATTTGTTGCCGCTGCTGGTTCAACTTTTCTTTCGGTGGACAATTTTGATATTCCTGCGCTTTTGTTCCATGGAGAAAGGCTATATTTTATTCTTGAATAAATAAGTGTTATAGCTTACAATCCTATGTAAATGATAAATATCAATAAAACGACGGGGTTAAATTAACATTTTCAACGTTTATAGCAGTAACTTTTAGTTTCTATTTTAAAGATTACCATAATTCCGCTAATTTTATTTCGTATTCAGCTTATGTATATACCCAAAAAACAAATTCATTACTATACTAGATTAAGCTCCAGGAATGTGAATTCAACTGTTGGACATAAAATCCAAATTTAAAATTATTACGGATACAACGATTAAAATAATTCGTTTTATTATATAATTTCAAATTAAATTAATATTTTGAACACAAATAAATACTTTTGTTCACAATTAAATACTTTATTTCTAAAGTAAAGTTTCCCTCTCAAAAGTGGTTAATCATTTAGAGTTCCGTGGTTTAAAAAAAAAATTGGGAACCGCTGGTGTAGACAGAAAAAAAAAAGATCATACTTAATTACTTTAGTTTTAATTTTGCTCAGCAATTAAGAAATAATTTATGTGTAGAATTTATGTAGCAATTTGAATTATTTACGAGAACGAAACTCAAACAAATTAATTTGCGTTTACCATGATTTTAAGAAGTACGCTTCATTATTACAATATGGAATTTAAGCACTTTTGCTTTTTAAATTTAGAATTTTAGCAGACATATTATGTTCTGTAACGGGCGGGTTACATTCGAATTTTATCTTTTATTGAAATATTCGTGTACAGTGCTTAAAATGGAAGAAAAAAAAACGGACCAAAATAACTTTTGATCTAATGATTGGATCTTCACATTCTTGAACTCAATCTTAATGGTTCGAGGGGGTGATTTCAAATATGCTAATTAATTTGTGCAGACGGTAATTATGAAATCAGACGTAAAACGTACTTTCTTTTTATAAACATGCCTTTTTTTTTGACGGGATCGGATTTTTTTTTCAACCGCAATTTGGCAAATAGGGTCCAATATTTTAATCAGGAGAGCGATCCAAAGTTATGACCCCTTAATGTTAATTTTACTTTTTGCGTATTTCACTATATCTCGAGATCTTTTTAAACAAATCGAAAATTTTTTGCACAGAGTTATAAAATTCGTTTATCCAAAAAATTCCATGCAAAGTATAACTTGAAGTTAATATTTATTATTCATTTAATAATCGACAAAAAAAGCAACTTTTAAGGTATACAATTCTTTTTATCATTTTAACGCATGCAATTTTAATGGCAAAATACAAAATTTGAGCGAAATCGGAAGAAATTTTTGTCATATTTTTAAAATTCGATTTCTTAAGAACTATATGACCGATTTCGCGCAAATGTTGTATTTGGCCATTTAAAATTACACTTTTTAAAATGATGTAAGCATTTGTTTATCTTACAATTCAAAATTTTTTCGACTATAATTAAATAAAAAAAACAAATGTTTACTGGAAGTTATATTTTACGTGGAAATCTTTGGATAAACGAATTTTATAATTGTGTGCAACAAGTTTTCAATTCGCTTAAAAAATTTCTCGAGAAATGGTGAAATACGCAAAGAGTAAAATTAACATTAAGGAGTTCAAACTTTAAATTGATCTCCTGACCAAACTATTGGGACCATATTTCTCAGATTGCTGCAACTCCCTACATTTTGGGGGTCAGAAATATGAATCCTTCGAGCAAATAGTAATAATAATAATAATAAAAAAAGCATGCTTATTAGAGAAAGTACGTTTTTTGTGCCTGATGTCGTAATTTAAAATATCGTCTGCACTAATGAACTAGAACATTTGATGTCGCCCTTTCGAACTATTAGGATTGAGTCCTAGAAAGTGAAGATCTGATTATTTGATCAAAAGTAATTTAGATTGGTCCAGTAATAAAAAAAAAAAATCAAAATAATTAAAGTTCGAAAGGAAAACGTATTAAATTCTTTCTCCAGGTTTCCAAAAACAATTTTTAAAAAAAGGTGGGAAAGAGGATTTTTTTAAAAAAAAAAATTATGATTTTGAAGTTTATTTAGTTAATCAAAAATTCAGATAAATTTTAGAAAGAAAACCCTTTAATTGTGTCAATTCTATGACCTATGCATGAGATTTATTCCTTATAACAAATCTCAAAATATGCGTAATACAAGCGTATTACACAAATTTTGATAAGAAAAAAAGATTTTTCATTAGAGCTTGTTTTGATTATTATGCCATTGTTTTTTTTATAACAGCTTGTAGATAAAAAAAAAATTGCTCAAATATCTTGAACTTATTAAATTTTAGTCTTTATAATGATTAGATAAGTAATTTTTGATGATTAATTATGTAATAATGTAGGAGAAACTAATCGACGAATTATGCTTCCGTTGAACTGAAGCGATGATGAATTAGTTGAGTGTTATCGACGCCACTGCATCAATAAGTGCTTGCAGTTTTTTTTTTTTTAAATCAATAAGTTACTGTTACAAACTGTTACGTCCTCTAGCTAGATAATGCTCTGTTTTGAATAATAAACCAGCAATATTTACGTTTAATTAAAAGCACTTATTTAAAGCAAATTTCAAGGCAGACTTCTTTTAGAATCATTTAGGGCAAGTAATGACGTCATAAAATATTTTTAAAAAAAAGTTTATTTTTGCGATAAACTTTCTCTTCTGATATGATATATAATTCGTTGCTTAAGTTTCTTTTTAGCTTTGACCTCGGTTTTTTTTTTCTCTTCTTGATGGTAAATCTTCTACAAAATCTTATCGTTGATATGATTACAGTACGATAACAAGCTTTCAAAAGCCGACGAGATAAACTTTTTAAGAGCCGGGTGCTTAGTTGTCGTTCGCGAAGTTTCAATTAGTAATTGGCTTGTAATTAATCTGTGCGACTTATTTAACCATGGCAAGTCAAGAAGAGAAAATTAAGGAAGACTACCAAAAGAATTTGGATCCCATCGAATTCCAAGAGTTTAAATTAAAAGGATTAAAGAATGAAAAAACCGAGAACAATTATGATTTTTGGTTTTCATGCCTTTATGAATATTTCACAACTGGTAAGTTATTTTTGAAAGTAAACTTTGTTTCACTATTTTATAGTTTATTTCGTTCTTTGCATGCTTTTTAGTTAATAAAGCAAACGCTTCGAAACCGAACTAATCCGTTATGAGGAGGCGATAGTGGAAACATTAAAACCTGTTTGATTGCAAGAAGAAATAGATAAAGATTGGAAGGCGTTTGTTAGAAAAACTTTTAACTTTTATCAAGTTACATACGATTCAGGTTACATCGTATTCTTCTTCACTCCGAATTGGAGCATAGGGATTCTATCAAAGCTCTCCATCTCACTCTAAATTAGTGTCCAGATATTTTGCAGCTCTCCATGTCTTTCCTATTGTTTTCAATTCACCTTTTGCGTCAAGTATTTGGGGGATATTTCCATATTGTAATCTGTGGCGCTAACTACAATCGTCAAGGTGCCAAATGGATTCGAAACTTGCAATTAAAGAGAAAAAAAAGTGTGGAAATTTTTGCCTGGGGGTGGCTACGAGTAATACCTTTCGCATTGGTCCCTTTCTGTGATATTTTTTTTAAAAAGTTTACTGCTGGCCGCTGCCCAGAAGTAGCCAAGACTTGACAATAACTCTGCCACAGATCACGAAAATGTCCCCGGTTTCAAATTTTGATTAAATTTTTCCGTATTTTTCAAATATATAAAAAATTTTACTTTACGGATAGAAAAATAAACACTTGGATTGAGCAAATAAAAGAAAGAGAAATTATATTTATTTTTAGGTCCTTCTCTTTTGCTGTTGCCCCGAGAGTTCCAATCAAAAACTTGTTTTTTTCTATAAAATTATCAAGTTTCGTAGAACATGACTAATCCATTTTCATTTACGTTTTTAATTTCTATTTTAATTGGTTTCTGTTTTTAAGGGATTAGTGCGTTACGAATTTTATAGAACCACATGATACGTAAGATTCCGCTTAAACTGTTGTAAATATATACTTCTTATAAAATTAATAGTTTTTTTTCACTATATTGCTATTGCAATGCCACGCCGCAGATCCATAGAGTAGACTTTTGATGTTTTTCCTTCTGTCTTTATAATTAACATTTTGACAGATTTCGATAGTATTTTTCTCTCTTTTTCGCTTCAATACAAATTTGCGACTCTATGCGAAAATTTCATTTTTGTGAATGATTCTAAAAAANAAAAAAAAAAAATAAAGGGAAAGTAAGAGTGATAATTGCGGAATACCCTGTATGTCGAACTTCGATGTGGTGAGCATATCTTTCCTGCAATGTATTTTCCTGAAATCATCTCGATTAAATAGGTCTGCGTTTATTTCCCGCGTAATGAATCTATACTTTTATGTGATTGATTGTGCATGCAGTTTAATAACATTAAAGCAAGATGTGGTTAAACTGCGCCACAGCGGCTCCCACATTTCTATTAGTTAATAAAATAACTAAAGTCTTGCATTCAATTATGAATAAAGAGCCGCGATGGCTCAGGGGATAGAGCATTCGCCTAACCTTGAAGTGACCCAAGATCGAATTCTGCTCCCGGCTCCAACCGACCATAGTGCTGACGTAAAAAATCCGTAGTGTTAGACGGATAATGGGTTAGAATTTCTTGCCATTGGTCTGACCATGGGAGGTTTTCGTGGTTTTCCTCTTCTTGTTACACCAATGCGGGCTAGTTCCATCAAAAAGTCCTCCACAAAGGCTAGTTTGTCCCATTGCTTGATCCAGGAGTTCCCTGATTATCCGGGTTAGGTTCAAAATTACAACGCTACGGAATTGAACAATAGTCGTAAACCCAGACTTTTTTTTATAAACAATCAAACGATGCCGATTCTTTAATTTCAAATTCTGTTAATAGATATTTTCAATATTATATTAAAATACTTTCATAAAATAAAAAATGCTGCTCATGTTTAATCAAAATATATGTCAAATGTTGTTAAAATAAAAATGTCGTAATTATAGCTTTCTATATTTGTAAAATTTAACTTTGATTATTTTTTTTTTAATCATTGTAGGCGTGCCGTCTCATAAAATCAGCCACTTTATAAATTCAAGCGATTTTAGAACAAATGTAACTTTAATACGCGGCGGGAACTGTGCTAAACAATTCTTAAGTACAACAGTGCAAACAATTAATTTATCTCGATTAAATAGGGCTGAGTTTATGTATTGAATTTTGGTAATAATTTAAAATCTAGCACACCACCGTAAGTATCAGTTAGGGACATTGCAGTATAATAGGCAGCAGAAGTATTAAGGTAATTCAACGAGACACGCGTTGAAGATTTTTAATGTAAAGGAGGTGTTATTTCATAATTGAAAAGTTCTATTATCAATAGTATCAATTTTTAAAAATTTAGTTGTGGGAATAGTAGTTATCGACCATGTTAACCTTCATCTATGATAAGGTTTGGTGTGTATACATACATAGAAGCTAAAAATGAATAAAATAATCCGAATTATGGTTTACTTCGAAATTGCACTTTTAGTAATTTTTCAATACTTTATTTATAGAAAAAGAAATATTTACCTTTAGAAAATGCCATTTTCATTTCATTTGTCTTTTACTTGAAATAATTTTACAAAAGCAACCGAAAGATTAATTAATTTATGTTTTATAGGTTAGTTTAAATATTATCAGAGGTGTCAAAAGTCATCACTTGTTATAAAAAATAATAACTCGCGGAACCTCTTCAAATTTCAAGGGAACACTAGGCTTCGTGGAGCATCATTAGGGAACCGTTGTTCTATACTATAACTGATTTCATAAATTGACGATAACATACATACTTTGACGATAACTTTTACAAAGCAATGTTATTTAGAAAATTAACCCGTATAACAGACATTATTTTGCGTAAATTCAATATTTTTTAAAACAAAATATAATTTTTTGCGCTTTATTGCTTAAAAAAAATATTTATTTATTTTTTAGAAAAATTTAGTGGAGAGAGACTACTAGACCTGGGTAGTGGTCCAACTGTGCATAATATAGCAACTGCCAGTGCCTATTTTCCGCACATAGTTCTTAGCNCCCTTTCTCTTTTATCTACACTTATAGTACATATAAATGGTTGCCAGCAGGGGTGTACATGTAGATTTATTAAATACACCTTGTGCGCGACCTAGGAACCACATCTAGAACCCGACACTCGAAATTTCTGCTCTGTTACAATTGTACCCTGTTACAATTGACCCCACTCTCCCCTACTATAACTGATTTCATAAATTGACGATAACATACATACAAAGCAATGTTATTTAGAAAATTAACCTTTATAACAGACATTATTTTGCGTAAATTTAATATTTTTTAAAACAAAATATAATTTTTTGCGCTTTATTGCTTAAAAAAATATTTATTTATTTTTTAGAAAAATTTAGTGGAGCGAGACTACTAGACCTGGGCAGTGGTCCAACTGTGCATAATGTAGCAACTGCCAGTGCCTATTTTCCGCACATAGTTCTTAGCGAGTTTGTGGAGAGCAACTGTGAGCAGCTCAGAAAATGGGTGAGAAAAGATCCCGACTGCATAGACTGGTCTCCCTTTCTCGAGAGAGTGGCCAAAGCGGAAAAGAGAACGTATGATTTTATATTTTTTAAGCAGTGTCACTTTTACTAATGGGGTGTTACGAATTCCTTTATCTTAAGCAGGACGCACACTGAGGAGGCAAGGGGTAAGAAAGAGCCATACGGTTAACGAATCCGTATGGCTCGTACTATTCCGGATTGCATTTGGATGCGCTTAGGTGATGTGCGCATGCTAATGCAAAAGTATGGGAATCTATGTCTCGTAATGTCTCTTTCTTACCACTGCCGGCCAGGTGACCGAGTGGTTAGCGTGCCTGACTGAGAAGCCAATGACTGCGGTTCGAAACCCGCGTAGGGTATGGATGTTTCGTTCTGTGTGTTGTTCTTTGTTGTGTGTGATGTGTAAATATGGCCCACCCTATGAACGGGTATCTGTAGCAGTGTGGCGTGGACAATGTTGCTCGCCTCCGTGACTTTGGTCACAGGCAACGCAAAATGAGCAACATTTTCAGATGCCAAGACGGAATACTCCGAGACCACTTTCCCTTTAGCTGGTAGTCAAAGCATGCAGAGCTTCAACATCATCTCTTCAACTTCATGCAATTCCACCTTCTTTATTCTATTACCACCGCATAATCTACGGAGGTAGCCTTATTGGCCAGGTACTCCGCTGCACATCTCTACCAGTTTCCTTAAAATGAGCAACACTTCCAGCACCTTCCTTGACGAAGAACGATAAGTCCAGTGCCTGCTGTTAAAAAAAATCTTTCTTACCACTTGCGTTCTCATTGTGTGGCCTGCTTTCTAAATATTGCCAATAAGTCATGTATTTTGTGAAACGGAGCTCTTGAAGCGCGCTCCAAATCCTTTCAACTTTTAAATAGTAAACAATGGCTTAACAGCTGACTTTTCGAACGATTCAGTACATAGTTTCCACGTGACGTCATTGTTCTTTAATTAATTCTATTCCTTAATTATTCTTTAATTCGTTTACCAATGCTTTAAATAATTATATTAGAAAAAAGTAAGAAAAGTTAAAATCTTAAAGAATAATAAAATACAGTTCACGACTTTTAGAAACTTACGGAACATTCTTGCTGAATCTGATGTGATCGTTCTACTTAAAATGCACCACTCAAATTGTGATTTTTTAAATGCATATTTCATATGGATTTTCATTTCGATGAAAAAGTTATTGTAAAGAATGAAGTTTGCGTACAGTGGTAAATATTTTGTTTTAAAATGTTGTTGTTGTAGTTCATTTACGTCGCACTAGATCTGCCCATTGGACTATTGGTGGGTTTTAAAATGAAAAGTTTGTTTTCAAAATATTATAGGGTAATATATAGCGTAGCATGTTAGTAAATAAAAAAATTACATTCATATGATTCTTCCTAGGTTTAGATAAAGGTATAATAGAATAGAATCCTTTTTCTGTCTAACCCCCAAGTTGATGACCGTTTTAAAAATAAAATGAAAGTTAGTTAATAAATGAGGAAAATACATTCATATGATTCTTCCCAGGTTTATGTAAAGGTATAATAGAATAGAATCCTTTTCTGTCTAACCTTTAAATTGATGATCGTCTTAGAAATAAAAATTCTAATTTGTGTGATGCCATTAGGGGCAATACAGATTTCCTAGCTTTTAAATTTCCTTTATTTCATAAGTTTAATCATTCCATATCCCTTTTTAGATAAATAAATCAGTTGATTAATTTTATTTCAATTTTATAAAGAGCGAATGCTAATATTTCTATTTTCAATAAACGTAACGGCTAACTTTTATTTCAATGCAAGTGTATAAGTAATTATTATTCAATGTCACGAACATCAAAATTTATTTTTAACCTTTCTTTCTTCAACCACAATAAAAATTGACAAATACGTTATTAGGTTAACTTTAATTTCCAACGAACTATTTGGCCTTAAATCTTCAGTAAAATTATTTAAATATTAACATGAGATATCGTGAGGTTGACTGAATTGGCTTTTCTTTTGGGCAGTGTGTTTTTTTCAATAATATGCATAAGATGAATCTCTCATGTTCTACAAAGCGTTGATTAAATACTGACTTATATTGGCCCTTTGATTAAGCAGGTAGTGGGAGGTTTATCTTCCATGGATTGTCCTTATTCATATTATGCAAAGTTTACCATTTTACTCGAATTTTCACTTGAATAACAACATTCTTTTTTTTCTCCACATCTCGAGGACTACAACTAATAAAATTTTTGTTATGTTTATGATCCTGTTTTCATTATTTGCTTTAATCAGACATCATTCATCAATCTTTTAATCCCTGCCACAATAAAAAAAGAAGAAGAAAAAGAATCCATCTTCTTTAATCTGCACCAACTGCCGCATATTTTTCATTACAGTTCGCCTTACATATTGTGATTCTTGTTTGGAGCACAAATTTTATGTTATTTCTTATACTAATTTAATTTAAGAAAGAATATTAAATGCATAGCATCACTTTTTTTTGTAAGAACATCTATTAATAAATACAATCTTTTCCCCCCGTTTTTTTCTTTCAAAAAATTATATTTTAAAAGTTAATTTTTTCCTGCTTAAATGAATTATGAAGTTAAATTTGAGTAGAATATTACATTAACATGCTGACAATAATATCCGTTAAAATGATATTTTATCAGTAAATTAACTAGTATCAAATGAGTTAACAACCGCGTTGCTAATTCCTCATATCTTCAGCAAAGCAAGTAGTCTATTGTCTTCAAATCATTCGCAGGGATGGTTTAAAGATCATTCCGTGGAGGAAGGGATCATGATGGGGAGATACAGGAACAATAACACCATCTTCTGGATTTGTACTGAATAGATGAGTAATGTGATGATTTAAAAATGTCCGAAGTGAAAACCTTAATTTTTATTATCCTATGAGTCAACCAAACACGCTATTTAACCCTTAATGGACCAATGCCGTCATAAAACTGTGGCACTTTTTTTATGGTACTTTTACTTACTGAATCCAATGCTGCAGCGAAATTCATTTAATTTCTCTTATCATTCTGATTGTTGTCATGTTAACAACTAACTTAATTACAATAAATATTATGCTTCTAATTAATATTATAGTTAATATAATAAATAATACTGTTAATATTATAATTAATATCATAATTAACTAATGGACTTTAACTAATGGGGTGCAAACTAGAGATGTTTCCGTTCCGTTAAGGGTTAAGAAACTTTTATTGGATTGAACTGATTGCAATTTCAACAGCCCAATGTGTGTGCTAATGTAAACGATGTAAAGCGATGATGTAAAAGATGTGAAACGTTAATGTAAAATCGATGCAAATATTTAAAAAAAAACGGTATTTGTATTTCTAAAAAAATAGTTTTACTCGTATCATAATTCATAAATTATTCCTTGCCAATATAAAAAGTTATTCTTAAGGCTGTTGTTTTCATTGTGTTGTCCTTAGGTTTGCTTAACAGTTACCTTTACTTATCCCAGGGAAAAAAATTTCTTTTAAAATTAAAATGCATTTCTCTGAATCTTTTTATTCCTTGCAAATTTAAATTCAACTTAAAAGGCATGGGAATTTTTGAATAAATTTTCTGTACAAATTTGTTTTCATTGAAGACTTTTTAAGTGAAAATAATTAATAATTGTGCTTCATGGAGAAGAAAAGAAATAAAAAACCCCCAACTACCACAGAATTATAAACCTTGATTTTATTGCTATTATTTTATAAGTTAGAGATAATTTTCTAAAATCTTGTAAAACTCCTAACATAGTAGGCGTTCGAATGTTTATTGTGATTATTTATTGCATTTCATTTAATTGCTTGTATTTATATCAGGTAATCATAATCAACGATTATTGTGTTTCTGATTGCTAGTAATCATGTGATCTAAAATTCCAAGTGATCCTGAGCCATGTTTTCAATAACATTGATTACTTATCATGGCAATTTAAAATACTAAGATTTTTGTCGGAAAAATGTTTTCTTTGTTTTCAAATTATAATTTTAATTGTAATTAAATGAAATTAAATTTAAAACTTAGACAGTGACACAGCAAGTAATCATAATCGTAATCGTGGCTTATGATTACACGATTGCTAGTAATCATTGTAATCAATGTAACATATAGAATCATGGTTACTTGTGACTCTAATTCATTGTAATCGTTGGTTGAAGTTACTCATAGTTATGAATGAATACTTGTAATCAGGGCTACAATTAATGTTATAAAAACTACAATTACTTCTGTTGACGATTTTAAGTTATTGATTGCTTGTAATGCTTATTTGTAATCAATTACTTTTTCGCCCTGCTCCACCAATAGTTTTTTTCTTTTTTGCCTAAAATTAATTTTTCTTCTTTTTTTAAAAAAAATTTAGTGATGTGAAGGCAGCTGCAAAGGAAATTGAGGACAGAATCCGATCTTCTGTTAAAGCTGTTATCCACTGTGACGTACTAGATGACCAAGTCATTGCCAAAGAATACGCACAACAGCCATACGATATGATCCTGACCGCACTTACATTGGAGACAGCAGCAGTCGACCTGAAATCCTACTCTAAAATAGTTGGCCGAGTAAATCAGCTGCTGCGGAAAGGTGGAAAGCTCGTCATGATTGGTCCAATCAAATGCACGTATTGGAAAGTTGGCGACAACAAATTCCATTGTCTTCCAGTTGGCGAGGATGATATACAGAAGGCTTTGGAGAAAAACGGATTTGGAGATATTAAGTGGAAGGTCCGAGATTTACCTGATGATGATCTGCCTTTTGACTGTTCGAAATTGTATTTTGTAACTAGCACAAAACTGTAATTAGTTTTTTCTTAAATTTGTATCAGCAGATTCTTGTAAGGAAATCTGAATTTCTCAGTAAAAAAATAAAATTCTTCTGACATAAGAAGTATATTTAGTTTATAGCACTTACGAACTTTGTGAAAGAAGGCTCTAGGTAACATTTAAATAATATAGTGTGTCCGGTGGTAGTGGGTAAAAGTAAATCAGTCCTTTTAGTCTAACAGTATTTTAATATTATAAGGTTAAGTTGCACACAAAATTACAAACAGATACTATGATTAATAAAAGGGAGAAGGTATACACAGTCTGTACATAAAGAGTTCAAAAGCTTAACAGACTATTTCTACTCATGGTCGCCAGATGGCGGTTCACTAGGGATGGAGAAAGAATGTTTGTGTCACAATAGGGGGGAAAAATATTTCTTGGATAAAGATCTTATTTTAGTCATATTTAACTTCAACATTTACAAATTTTGACAGGTCTTTAAATTTTACGGATCTTAGTAGATGAAGTTATTAAGTGGCAATTTTTGAATGTTTTCAGGATAGGAGAAGTACGTTTGTCAAGAAACAGTCAACGAGTAATCTTGGAAAACCTGTATTTTTGGCATAATTTCAAGCGCCATGACTGCAAACGTTAAGGAGTGAATAGTTAAAATTAGTTTTAAGGAGCTGTAGATTTCGCCAATTAGAATTTTTCCGGCAAAAATAAATAAAAAGGGTGATCTTTATTATTGTCTACATATAAAACTTAAAGACATATTTATTGTATATTTAATTGTATAACATATAAAATTTACGACATATTTATTTAAAGACATATTATTTCTAAGGGGACCAAGACCAACTAATTTGGGAGCTTCAATTTAAATTCTCAAAATAAACGTGAATAAATGTTCAGCTTTTATATGTCTATTTCATATTAAGCCTAATTGTTATTAAGCTAAGCTACTTTAGTTTATGATATAAATCTAATCAAATAAACAGGACCAATAATTAAATAGTAAAGAGTGAATAGCACAAAAATAATATTATTCAAAAGAAAAAAAAAATTAAGCCACAAATTAGGTTTATTAGCAATATTTTGCTGCATGTTTTTACCTTCCTTTGAATTTGTTATACAACTTACAAAAAAATGAAAACTATTAATTACATAACATCTTTGCATAGAAGCTTCACGAATAAAATAAAGCCAATAAATTATTAGAATAAATCCATTCGATAATACCTAATTTCTTTGAAAGTAAAAATAAATCCAATACTTTAAAATCAAGACCAAACATGAAAAAAGATAAGCAACCTACAAAAACTTTCACATTTAAAATTTCAGAAAAATTTAAACTAAGCCATTTTCATCCTATTACTTACACGTAAATAATGTGAGCTTAAAGAAATTCGATATAAAATTCATTATTCAAGATATTTTGGTCCCCTTTATTTGAGAGATCCCCAAGTCTATGTCCAGTCTTTATTTTTGATTATTAAGCCATATTAAGTTTCAAAATAGTGAATACCATAATTATGCTCGACACATGTACTTTTACACGATTTTTTTTATGTTATTATTTGTAGAGATAATAAAGAACTCTCTAAGAACGAACACTAAAGCCATTATCATTCATCATAAAGATTACGTTGTCCTTTAAAAGGAATAACTGTGTATATACAAGTTATTTCATAGCTTCAAGGTTTTTCATTTACTGATTTCAGTACGTTGGGTGCAATTCAAGTCCCACTAAACTTCTAAAGAAACTATAACACATATTTAAAGAACGATAGTGTTTGCTCTTATAGAATTTAAAAAAAAACTTTTTATAGAATTTTTCATTCTGTGCTAAAGAGCTATTAGTAGCAGATTACGAATCAAAACTGATTAGATACAAGAATCATGGAAAATGAAGAGAAGAAAATTCGTGAACATTTTTTGGAAAATTTTGATCCATTAGAGTTTTATGATTTTAAATTAGGATCACTGAGTAAAGATGGGACAGAGGATAATTACGATTTCTGGTTTTCATGTTTATATGAATTTTTCACTACAGGTAAGAGTATTTTTGGAAGTTTTAGATATTAAGATGCGTAGTTTTCAAACAAGCTTGATAAATTTTTAGTAACATAAAATATTAAGTTATTAATTTCTGACACTCACTGAAACGTATGAATGTTTTAAGTAAATGATTTTGATGCTTTTTTTGGGAGGATATATTCTAAATTCGTTATTCTTTTAAAGTACTTTTCTCTGTCTTAAACATTTTAGATTAGGTTAATTAATTTTATACGTATTTTGAAATAAATTGATTTTAGTGCCAGACAGATAATTTTCGTTAATTTCGAGAGAAAAATAATTGATTGTAGTACATTAATGGTTAAAAAAATAGAAATTTATGATCCTTTCGAAAAAAAGTATTTTTTTGTCTATTTTTTCTTGATTACTGCTTGTTATTATTATTATAAACTGCAGAAAAAGGTGTTTTTTTAGGTTTCTAATTAAATATTTTTTTGCATGATACAGGTTTCATTTTTCTAAGCTTTAAAGTGTTTATTAATTGCACATTAAGTGTTAAGAATATAAATAAACTGTTAATACAATTCAAGTTCAGAAATTTGTTAACACCATTCTGCACTTTTTTAATGTTTAAATGTATTTATTTATGCCTTATAATTGTACTCCCGTTTGTCAAAATTTTTAACTACAGAGAAAAATTATTAAAAAAAAGTAACTAATTTGATTCCAGTAGATTTGTGGACAGTTTTAGGGCGAACAAATATAGTATTATTTGAGCCAAGGAGATTTTGTTTTATAATCAAATGTTTATAAAATGTAGAAATACTCTCCTTCCTACAATATAGGAAAAGTGCTAAATAGTAGTATTTTTTATGCAGTAATTGAAAATAACTAAAAATTAGTAAATTAGATGAAATATAGCTTATTTTGTCCAAAAAAATCAAAATGGAGAACATAGGTTATTGGAAACCGATACGTGAACCAACATTTTTAAGCACTGAATTGAAGTAAAAAAGATAGATTGAATCTACAGAACAACCACATGAAGTTTTTTTGAAATTATATTTATTATTTTTTTTATTTTTATTAATTTTCATCATTTTTAAATATATGTGATTGTGGTTAAGGTGTAGAATCGGGATCCCCTTGGTTTGACTATAATTTTCGTTCTATTTTGCTAAAACCCGTTTTTGAAACCATGATATTCTTCGCTGGCTTTTGCCATCTTTACTTACTGCAACTATAACTTTATCGCTATTTAATCGATTCTTGGATTATTTTCATACATATTTGTTTATTTTCGAATCGCTAAATAAAAGAGGGGCTCCGATTTTAAATTATTGTCCTTTTCTCTATATTCATCTATGGTTATCCCTCACTTTCAAATAGTTCATCTGAAGAAAATTTGCCATTCAATATTTCAGCATCTAAAATACTTAAGTTCACCAGATAAGTGGCGAGTTTTGTGTTCTTACAATTTCATCATTAGGGTCTTTTTTTATTAATTTTTGTGAAATTATGATACTTATTCTAGTTAATGATGCTCTAACAGGTTTTTAATTAAAGGACAATAAAGAAAATGAACAGATTAACAGATTTTTCTTTAGTTTAACTAACATTCATGAGATCACATCTGGGGGTAAAATCCTAGCATACGTTACACGCTTAGAAAATGTTGCTCATGCCGAAATGACACATCAACGCTTGTCGCCAAGAATCAGAGGAAGCAATAACATAAAAATCGTAATAAAACATAAAATACATAAACACCCCGAAAAAAGAATAAAAAACGAAATTTATCGTCTTCCCAAACATCGCCAACGTCACGAAATCCACAGTGTAACGTATACTTGGATTAAGCCAACAATTTCACTTTTATACTTACATCGACATTTTTATTGACGAATTCTATTTATCTACAAACACTACCGTTGCCAACCTACGAATTCATAAAGTGAACATTAAATATGAGCGCAATTTGAAACTCTCGCTTCTAAAAGCATTATTATATCATCTTTCCTTAAGTTTGTTAAGTCAGTTTGATCATATCTCTTATTTTTATTTTATTTAATAACCATCGTTGAACAGCCGACCCAATTTTGGGTTTCGACAGCTAATGTTCAACTCCGCAGCCTTGTAATTTAGAACCAATCCAGAAGACAAGGAAACTCCTGGATCAGTACCCCCCAGAGGTATAGTTTGTCACGAGCCCATGGAGGACTTTGTGACTCGACAGATTTAACGTGCATCAGTCACCATATACTACATGGGGAGTCTTCGGCAGGCGGGGATCGAACCCACGACCTCTTGGACACGGACTCAGTTCTTTCCCAACCAGGCTAACCCGACCCTATATCTTTTATTTGTAGTTGGTGGACTATTACAGAATTTTTTTAGAATTTTTGTGCATCGCAGGATTCATTTGGAATTTGATTTAAATAAAGGAATGGGCATTATAGTTTTCTTTAAATAGCCGTATGTGTCTAAAAATATTTAAAGATGGTTTAAAAAAATTGACTTAACAAAACACATATAAAATGAAATGACGCCAGTATCTGCATTTATAAAATTTGAAGTAATCTCATGTAGTTATGTAAGGTTCATAGGTTGTATTTTGCAAAAAACGTTAATATATATGACGAAAGAACTTTTTAAGTTTTAAGATGTTTTATATTTTACTTGCAGAAAAAATCGATGGAGAGAGGCTTCTTGATTTGGGCAGTGGTCCTACAGTGCACAATGTAGCCACAGCTAGTTCATATTTTTCTCACATTGTCCTTAGCGAGTTAGTCGAGAATTGTTGTGAAGAAATACGAAAATGGCTTAGAAAAGACCCTGATTGTGTTGACTGGTCTCCTATGCTAGAGAGAGTAGCCAAAATAGAGAAAAGAAAGTAAAAACATAATAAATTTAATTCTTTTCCTTCAAAACATTGTGATTATACCAACATTTTTGAATAAATTAAATAATATGAATGTTCTTATTTTGTAACCGTTGTTAAACAGACGGCCTAATTTATGGATTTACGACTATTATTGTTCAACTTCGTAGCCTAGTATTTCTAAACCCTTTCCAGAAGACAAAGGAACTCCTAGATCAAGTATTGGGAGAAATTTGTCTTCGTGGGAACTTTTTTAATGGAACTAACTGGCATTTGCATTACATGGTGAGGAAAAACATGAAAACCTCCCAAGGTTAGCCTAATGTCAAAGGGACTGTTACCCATGATCCGTCTGCCACTGAGGATATTTTGCATGAGCACTGTGGTTGGTGCGAGCCGGGTGCGGAATTCGTATCGACCAGTCATCGCTGGGGTTTGAAACCGGTTCACCTTACTGGAAGAGGAGTGCTCTATCCCCTGAATCACCATGGCTCGAGATGAATGTTAAAAAAAAAACTTCCATTAAACACTATTGAGATTTAGTACCAGCATTTTAACTAAACATAAACACCAATTTTTATGGAAAATATTGATAAGATGGCACAATCAGTTTTCAAGGCAAGAGGGCGCGAAAAAATCGTCAATTGTAAGAAATCGTAAAAAGTCTTATTCAAGCCAGTGTTGTTTAATTAGTTGAGATAACAGATACTGCTTTGAGTGCCACTGTTCTGACCACATAGCCACAATTATGGTCAAGAATTTGTGGAGCCGTGAGCTTCATGACCACCCTAGCTCATAAAGGGCTGTAGCAGGAATGTTTTAACCCCTTAACGCACAGATTTTTTGAAAAAAACCGGTCAAAAAAAAATAAAAAAAAAATTTTAATGTAAAAAACATACTTCCTCCTGGTTTAACTTTTTGTTTGGTGGACAATTTTGATATACTGCGCTTTTGTTCCATGGATAAAAGCTATATTTTATTCTTGAATAAATAAGTGTTATAGCTTACAATCCTATATGAATGATAAATATCAACAAAACGATTTTTACCCTTAACTTTCACATGGTTATTTTCAATTCTCGATTATATTCGAGTGTGAAAAATTATAACAGCATAAAATACAACGCAGCTCGAATTATCTCGAGCGTGCACAGTTTGGCCTGTTAATCGCTCTCGAATTAACTGGAGTGCACAAGTTAAGGTGTTTACAGATACAGCTGGTAATGAGTTAATAGGCTCAGTGGTAATATGTACAGTGAGAAAAATAAAAAATGGGACAATCTGAATTGTTTTTGATTTAATGGTTGGATTTTTCCCATACCAGGTCTCTATTATAATAGTTCAAGGGCCTGACCTCAAATATGCTAACTAATAAGTGCAAACAATATTATATGTTATGAATTCCGATACAAAAACATACTTCATTTGAATAAATGTTTCTTTTTACCACGCAGTCTGATTCGAATCTTAAAATATGGGGGTAGTCAGAATCTCAATAGTTTAGTCAAAAGTTTGGAAAGTTTAATTATACTTTTCACACCATATCTAGAAAACTTAAGAATAATATGTTTTTTTTAATTCTAATATAATTTTTTTTGAAAAACTATTTTTAGTAATTATTTATTATTTTTTAATATTTTATTTAATAAAATATATCTGTATACTATAATATACCTTATACCATAATAAACCTTTAAATAATTGAAAGATTTTTTTGCTCACAATTATTAAATTCGTTTGTTTAAAAAATGATTGAATGGAAAAATAATTTTAATAATTATTTATTATTTTTTAATATTTAATTTAATAAATAGTTGAAATTTTTTTCTAATAGTAAGATATATAATTTTAATGTAATTTTATTTGACAAAATGTAATGCAATTTTGAATGAATTGATATCGCACAGTTCTCGAGAAATTAAATTTTAACGAATTTTTTGAAATTTGATAACGTACAAACTATTCCACCGATTGTGGATTGTATATTTACAGGTGTCCTGAGAGACAAATACTAATTTCCACCATCTTCCATATTAAATCTCTGGAGAGCTGTACGAGCACCATTTATTTATTATGAGAGTAAATATTATTTTTAAATATTTTATTATATTTTCTAACATTTAAAAAAATATAGATATTATCCAAATTTTTAAAGTAGTTAGTTAAGTACTTTATTTACGTCGCACTAGAGCTGCACAATGGGCTATTAGAGATGGTCTGAAAAACATCCCTGAGAATGATTTGAAAAAATGCTATCAAAATATAGATCCTCTGCAGAGGAGATGGTAGCTCGAAGACCTGCTCGCGAAATCGAGCACTTTATGGTAGAACAGTTTAACGAGGATCGTTACCACTCACCCTCGGCTTCTACACAAGCTGATCAAAGTGGTCACCCATCTCCTTACTGACCGCAGCCAGTGATGCTTGACTTCAGTGTTCTACTGGGAACCCTGTCTTTACGATCAGTCCACTGCGGGACCCAAATTTTTAAAGAGTTGATAATTTTTAGAATTATATCCAAAGCAGCAATAAAATTGCTTTAAATTCGTTTAAAAGTACTTGAAACTTTAGAAACTAAAATTTATGGACTGGGGTTACGTAATTTACATTTTACTAAATAATATGAAACGAAAATATTAATTACTAACTTAATGTAAATAGGAAATCGCTAATTATGGTTAATATGGGGGAAGCTGGGTATTGAATGCGACTCCAAAACATTAACACGTTGAATGCCACGCTAATTTTATAAGGCTTGCCCGTCTGGCCAACATGATTTTCTCAGTATGTATTGCATTAATTTCTTCAAAGCATTTTAGTAACGATAATAATACAAAAAAATTAAAAGCATTAAAAATTTACTCGAACTATGTGTTTCTAATAATCGTGGCTTCGCGGGTCACCGGTGACCCCCGTTTATTTACGAACAAACTCAGTGCTGGTCACCGGTGACCCCCATGGTTTTCAACTTGTTGTTAATAAAATATGGTATATAATGGTATATATCTAAATGAGAGATTGTTTATTTTCTTTCCCTAGAGATTTGAAGGCAGCATCAAAAGAAATTGAAGAAAGAATCCGATCTTCAGTCAAAACCGTTATTCACTGTGACGTCGTCAACGACCAAGTCATTGCTAAAGAATACGCCCAAGAGCCCTATGACGTCATCATGAGTGGTCTTACTCTGGAGACGGCTGCGGTCGATTTGGATTCTCACTCCAAAATAATTGGTCGCATTAATCGTTTGCTGAGGAAAGGAGGCAAGTTGATTTTGTTCGGTCCGACGAAGACCACATTTTGGAAAGTGGGTGACAATACATTTCACAGTTTCCCGATAGATGTCTCTGATGTTCAAAAATCTTTGGAAGAAAATGGATTTGGCGACATTAGGTTTAAGCTAAAAGAACAACCCGATAATGATGCTCGCTACAACAGTGATAAACTGTACTTTGTAACAAGTACGAAGCTTTAATTCTGAATATTGAAGCTTAAAACAACGTTACTTTGAACGACAATGTAATAATCGTAATCAGTGATAAAAATAACTCAATTAACCGGAAATGTTTTAAATTTATATAAAGCATTTATTTTTGCAAGTTCTCGTCTTTAAAAAAGAGTTCGAAGTATGTTACATACACACAGCAATTAATGGCATTATTGGTTCAATAAAATGGTTAACCACATCTTTCAGGGGAGCATTTTATTAATGAAAAACGCAACAATTTCTTCGTAGGCAGTCAAATGTTCCTCAGTATTGCGCTGTTATCGAAAGGAAACTGCAAAAACTTATCAAGTATCTGGAAACAACACTTAGGAACAGTTGGGTGCATAAATATCATCTTTGGGAACGTGCGGCTTATCACTTTAATTGTCAATACCCTTTAATTGCCAATATTATTGTATTATGTGCATATATAGTTATAAAACGTAAGTAACATATAAACTTTTGAAACATTTTCATCGTTTATGGATGAGATAGTTTGTATCTTCTTTTGAAAGTTCGTTTGCAATGCGTCATAAACGCGTAATTTTCACGACTATTTTTTTTTCATTTAACTCATACTCTTATGTGTGCAGTAATTTTTAACGTTTATTGCTTACTAACTTCAGTAGTGTATTTTTTTCGACGAACAAGATTATTACTTCCAACGAATGTTCGCTGCACAGTGCGCAAAATAATAAAAGGACCACCCTCAATAACTTTTGATCTAAAGGGTCAGACTCAATCTTAACGGTTCAAGAGAGCGACTTCAAATATGCTAATTAGTGCCGACGATATTTTAAGTTACGAAATCAGACACAAAAACGTACTTTCTCCGTATAAACATGCCTTTTTTACGATGGATTCGGATTTCTGACCCACAAAGTGTTGTTGTCGTTGTAGTTCATTTACGTCGCACTACAACTGCACAATGGGCTATTGGCGACGGTCTGGGAATCATCCTTGAGGATGATCCGAAGACATGCCATCACAATTTTGATTCTCTGCTGAGGGGATGGCACCCCGCTTCGGTAGCCCGACGACCTGCACACGAAGTCGAGCACTTTACGGTAGAACAGTTTAACGAGGACCCATACCGCACATCCTCGGTCCCTACGCAGACTAATCCAAATGCAAGTGGTCACCCACCCTCACACTGACCGCAATCAGTGATGCTTGACTTCGGTGATCTGATGGGAACCGTGTCTTAACGATCTGTCCACTGCTGGACGACCCACAAAATGTAAAAGGTAGGCGCAATCAGTTTGATCAAGAAAGTTGACCAAAAGTTTTTGTTTCGCACACAAATAGAAAATTTGTTTATCCAATGATAATTTCATGCAAAAATTAAACTTTTTGCGAGTATTTATTACTTTTTATTATTTTATTTTATAAAAGACGAGAAAATTTTTAATTGCCAGGTATACTGCCTTTTATATCGTTTTAAAGAATGTAATTTTAAATGACAAAATACAAAATTTGAGCGAGGTCCGTTTCTTTTTTATTTCTTGAGCACTGTACATAGTAAAAGCACAGCAACAAATTTTATAATTTAATTCTTTTACTCTGTTATGTGTAGCGATCTCATACAAATGTGTAATCTTATTTGAATATCATACAAATTCTTACGTTATATTTGCCTCTACCGACGAAATATATTATTTCCAACCATTGTTTGTTAGAGATTGCCAATGCAGAGTTATAATTGGGGCAATGAAATGAAAAAAAGTGCCTACAAAAAAAACATACTTACTAAAATAAAATTAAACATTGCCATAAACTGTGTCTGGCAAAAAATAAAATAAAATGAAATAATTAAAATAAAATAAAGAAGAGGGGGAAAGAAAGAAAAGAGTAAAGATGACTATCTCAATTTTGCAGTCTTAAGATCCTCATTTAAGTAAAGAAAGATAGCCTCCTTCTTCAAGGTAGTGATTATTGAGAAGACAATGTCATGAAAAGTTGAGTATCCATGCAATAAAAAACTATAATTCAAAATTGCATTATTTGAAACTAGAGATTATTGAGACCACAATATCTTAGAAAGTTAAGTATATTTGTCCAATAAAAAATTGATTTTAAAATTGTATATTGTGAAGATTAGAGAATATTGAAAATATAATATTATAAAAAAGTTAAATATCCGTCCAAGAAAGAAAATGGTTTCAAAATTAAGTAGTGAGAAAATTAAAGATTATTGAGAACACAATATTATATTAATTATCCGCTTTAATGAAAAAATTATTTCAAAATTGTATACTTCGTTATTTGGAAAAAATGTAGAGTTTTTAAAAATGGAGTAAATATGAGGTTCACAACAATATGAGATGCTTATATATTCATTTTTCGTTTGTTTTCAAAGTACTAGGTTACGTTTTATTATTGTTTTGTTTTGTAGAAATATTAATAAATAATTTTTGGAAATCTGACTTCTTTAAATTAAGAAAAGTTTTAATTATTATTATTATTTTATCGTGAGTTAGATATAGCAAAATCGCTTTTGATTTGCGTACTTAAAATTGCGCCATTTTATACAACTAATTTCAATCCAAGCCTCTGGATGTGATAAAAGATTCCCGGAATGAAACTTAATTTTGAAGTTAAAACTTAAATCACCCTCTACAATCGGTTTCTATCATCCTCCTCTAATCATCTTTTTATTTAATTCTCTTACTTATTTCAATTTTTAATGAACTAGAGAAATTGCGAATTTCTTATTATGGCATTTTTTAGGAATACCTTAGAAATAATAAATTACTTTTACGCGGAAAATGATAAAGGGAATAAATTGAAGGGTAAAAACTTTTTTACTTCTGTGGTGGGAAATGTTGGGACGAATAAACGTATGTTTTTTTTCAATAAAATATAATATCAATCTTCACTGTACCAAAAATTATTCACGTAGATGCATTTTATAGCAATTCTGATATGACGCTATAAATATATAATATACCGTGTTTCCTAATTTGCATTTGTTTTCTAATTTGCTTTTACAATTTATTTTATTGAGTACATGAAAAAACTTGGATTTGATAAAAAGAATGAAATCCACTTACGATTAGTCTTATGACAGAAAAAATAATCACTCTGGATGGAATATAATTTTCAAATTTTTTTGAAAATTCTAGACCTCGTTATCTTCGTTACTTTCCGTAGAACCATGAATAGAATGTTTGATTATTTTTTTCGTCTTATTCAAGTATGAATATTTCAACAAACATAATTTTTATGTTCGAAAAAATTTAAAGTTCACGATACTATTTAAACCTGTAAAATGGAATCCCGATTTGTTATTGTTTATTTATTTATTGGGACAATATACATTTGCGGGTGTGTGTGCTCGATTAAGGCTTATAAGCCTTTGTGTTATAAGTAGAAGGACAGATAGTACAATACAGAGAAGGACAACACGAGGATACATCCAGGGTAACAGCGGAATTCGAACCCGCTTCCACGCTACGCACAGCATTTGTTGTTGTTGTAGTTCATTTACGTCGAACTAGAGCTGCACAATGGGCTATTGGCGACGGTCTGAGAAACATCCTTGAGAATGATCCGAAGACAAGCCATCACAATTTTGATCCTCTGCAGAGGGGATGACACCCTTGCTTCGGTAGACCGACAATCTGCGCGCGAAGTCGAGCACTTTACGGTAGAACAGTTTAACGAGGACCAATACCGCACACCCTCGGTCCCTACGCAGACTGATCCAAGTGGTCACCCACCCGCACACTGACCGCAGCCAGTGATGCTTGACTTCGGTGACTTGCTGGGAGCCGTGTCTTAACGATCAGTCCACTGCGGGACGCTCACAGCATTTAGTGTGCGAGACTCCGGCCAGGAAAGTCCTTTTGCAATTGTTTATTTAACTCACTAACAGTGGACTGTTTCTGACACGCTCAACATTTTTTTTAAAGAAAAGCCGGAATCAGGGAGTATCCCTGACTGATCAGTCTCGCTGATCTGCTAAAAGGTCTGTTACATGGAGGATGCGGGTTCGAACCCCGTCTGGATGTATCTTAGTGATGTCCTTTTTTGACTTGTGAAAATCTGTTCCACAACTTTATAAGGGCCTCTAATTCGACTTCGTAATCAGCACACAAGCTTCCATGTGTTTGTGTAGCAATAAACAAATAGGGCCAGAAACCAGAGTAGATTTTCTTGTAGTAGTAGTACCTTATTTATTTCACATACGAGCTACACAATAAGTTATTGACTGTAGATATATAGAAACATCCTTGAGGTTGATCTGAAGATATGTCATCGTAATTCTAATCCTCTGCAGAGGGCATGGTTCCCCCTCTTAAGCAGTCCGACGACCTCTGCACGAAATTGAGCACTTTATGGTGGAAAAGTTTAACAGAGAAATCACGAAACCAGGGTCCTTTTGCACACTGATCAAAGTGGTCACCCACCCACTCACTGACGGCGGCCAGTGATGCCTGACTTCTTTGATATACAAGGAATTGTACGCGTCTTAAGACCACTGTAGGACTAGAAACCAAGAAAAACAGACTTAAGTTTCGTACTGCAGCAGAGAAAGTAATAATTCCCTACCTCAAGTTACTGAGAAATTAAGGGGCAATAAACGGATAAAACAGGAGTACTTAATTGGAGTTGGGAAAGAAGGATTTCTTAACATGCACAAATGGCCCAAGTGATTCCGGGGTTGCCAATAGATTAAGGCTCCTCTTGAAATTCGATAGAGAAAGATGGCTTCGTTTTCATGAATACACTCAACCTTAAGAGGATGCTATACTAAGGGAGGAATCATGACAAATTATTTTTCAACTGCATCAGCAATTTAAAATTTTAAGCATAGAAAAAATGAGTTGAGATGAACTTAAAAATAAAGTTTGAAGTACTGAAAGTTTTTAGAAATGTAATTATGTCAACATTTATTTGTTATTTAATATTAAAAAAAGACAGGAAAAAAAATCTTTTAGCACTTGTAATTTCCTGGATCACTTTTGATTTATCTGAACTCACATTTTCTATACTATGTGTAAGTAAAATTTAACTTACGTAAGTTAAAACTTAACTTACACATGCAATTAAAAGAGAATTTACCATGAAGGAGTTTGGTAAAGCGTACTTTTAGCGCTTGAAGCCAAACAAACAAGCTGAAAATTAAAAATAAGCGATGAACTAAATTTAAAACTTCCAATTTCTGTAAATATTGGTTACATTTTTTTTAAAGATTTAAATTTTGTTGTAATCGAAATGAATTTAACGTTACTTTAACGATTTGTTTACATTTCACTGCTACTTATTTAGAATATTGTAAACATTTGAAATCTTGTATAGAATCCAAAAACATCGGTGCTAAGTGAACTCGCTGGTTCAAAACTAAAACGACACTTCTGCACTCACTTCTCATTCAAATGACATGAGAAGTGAGTGCAGAAGTGTCGTTTTAGTTTTGAACCAACGAATAGCATACATCGTTGGTCACATTGGTGTATTAAATGCTTTGTTGAAAACAATAAAAGACCTGACATTGTCAAGTAACACAATTAATCAATGCTTTTATGATTAGATTATAAGTTAAAATCAATTTTTTTAAAATTAAAAATAGATTTTAAAACAAGTAAATAATAGATAAATCAACAATAATGAAAAAAATGTTTTGATTTTGATGAGAAATAATAAATATCATCCTTCTGAATAATTTAAATTGAGTACATTGAGTAACGAAAGCATTAAAAGACAGATTTACCATTAAAAACTGAATAAACTAGGTTAAGTAAGGAAAAAGTGTTAAATTTGAAATTATTAAATAGTTTTGAAACGACTTTTTGTATCTGTCTGCTTTATAAAACCATTAGATGTGTGATATATGAAGGCATAAATAGCGCTAACTAAAAACATGCAAAAATATTTAACTGAATGAAATCGTATAAAGTAGCACTGTTAGCTTAATGTTGTTTGTGTTGGAGAAAAACAAAAACAAAAGCACAGATTTTATAATATCCATCTCGTTTCATTTCCATACATTGATCATACACATGTGTCTATTCTAGTACACAAACAATTGACTACATTTGCAGTTGAAGATATTCTTTACAAATCCAAGTCTGGGTTTTACAACATTTACACAATATTTTTTCACTCATTATCGTAGTTCACCAAGTGTCCTTTTTAATTTTTAGTATATATATAAACAAGACGGCTCACACGCTGTGAGCTGCCCCTCGTTGCTAACAACGGTCCTTGATCACAGAAGCCGAAAGCTCAAAATCATTTCCATTAATTTATTTTTATTTAAAACATAGACACAAAAGAAATGCAAATTCTGATTAGTACCACAGGTCGAGTTCAAAAATTTGGTCGCTGAAGTAAGTTTCTCGGCCACGAAAGTCACAGCACATTTGCAATAGGAAATAAGGGTAGTAAGGAAAAAAAATCCCACCTCGATAGAACGAATCGTGAAACGTTCTAAGAACAAAATTAACTTGAAAACACTAGAAGTTAACCGTCTTTGAAATTCCAGCATGCATGTGAATGTGTGAGAACGTTCGAATGATAAATAAAAAAAGAAATGATGTTTTATAAAAGAGGGTCTCAGTGCTGCACTAGTTTTAGAAATACAGATCTAATTTCCAATTGATTCCAAGCATTCATTCTACTCACACTGTCGCACAGTTTGTTAATGGATTATTTACAAAGATATCCAGCACATTTTATACAAAGCTCCTGTTAAGTGATGTGGTCCTTAATTTATTGGGGGTTAGAAAAAACCATCAAGATTCCATAACATCGGGTCAGTGGTTTTTGGATGAGTAAAATGTCGCTTCCAGCTATGCAAACGAATCGAATACAAAAGCAATATCTGTCCATGGTGATTACGCCCATGGTAACTCCCCATTGATTTCCATGGTGAGACAGAAGTCGACGACGAATTGCCGGCTAGAATAAATTACTTCGTGTGCATCTGGTGCAAACTAACTGCCAACAATTATACAGCTTTTTTTGTTTCGTTGCCAGCCAAAAAAAATTTGATAGATTTCGTTACTTATGAAAGTTCAGTCAGAGTTGTGGTGCATAACCGAGATTCTTTCGTTGCAAGAATAGGTGGATTTCTCGAAAGTTTGGCCTGTCCGATTCATTCCTTTGCCAGCACTCCCTCATCAGGTCGTAGATTTCCCGAGGACAGTTTGGAGGTTGTGGCAAGTACCTGTGACGGCTATCCCCATGGTAAAGGTATCCTATATTTTCGATCACTTGTTCATCTGTAAGTTCAGCATACGGTTGGTGCCTGGCGAATGTTAACACTTCCCACATGGTGACAGCGAAAGCCCAAACGTCACTTTTCGTTGTGAATTTACCCTGAAAATAAGAATGCAAGTCTTAATTACACTTAATAATTTAAACACGTATATGGTTACTAATAAAGCCTAACCCTTTGCTTGCGGCTGGTACAATAAGTGGACCCGAATGACTTCACCATAGTTTTTCTTGCTTGAACAGCGATTTTTACCTTTTTTTGACAGTAAAAAAGTAAAATACAGTCAGACCTCTATTTAACGAAGTCGCTAAATCCCGATAATAAGTTCGTTAAATAGAAAATTACCTTTTGAAATAATTAAGCAACGCAAACCAGGTATTAAATTCATAAACACTAGACATAATTAAAATAGCAAAGAAATCTGCATGGAAAACAAGAATAGAGCGAAACATAATCCAGTACATGCTACATACATTTTCAATTAAAAAAAGCGAATTTTATGAATAAAATTATAACTGCATTTATAATAAAAGTAATTTTAAACATGCATTACCACCTGCGTTCTGAAGTTTAATTGCTACTGATAAAATTCGTTTAATTTTGTATGAGTTTATTGTTTGAAATGCAAAAAAAAAAAAAAAGAGAAAGGGATTTTACTGTTTTCTCTGAAAGTTAAGTGGCTTCGAAATTCAATTTAAGGTCAATTCCCCCCTTAAAATGCGTTAACAAGTTTGAAATGTTTTGAAATATTTTGGGCAATAGGGAAAGTGGATCTCAAAGAATAGTTCGTTAAATAGAAAATTCGCTTCGTTATTTGGAAGTTATTTTACGAAGAAATTTCCAAAATGTTCTAGGTTCCTCGAAAAAAATCACAAAATAGAGAAATTCGCAAAATGAAAGTTCGTTAAATAGAAGTCCTACTGTATGTCAAAAATGCATTTTGCATATTTGAATGGGTACCAACTAAAAACTATTGCCTAGAATCAATTGAACTTCTTTACAAGCAATCTTTGCTATATCAGCAGTCAAAATATATTATGATTAAGTAACTCAAGTGTGAAGATGGCTGTGAAAAGATATAATCATGTCCTCTGTTGTCAAAAAAAGGAATGAAATTACTTTCCGAACAACTCAATAATTCTGCAAAGTAGATTCAGCCTTGTGTCATATTCTATACATGTGTTTAGTTTTACGAAATTTCTTCTAATTGTTTTAAATGTAAATACGTAGAAAATTAAACTTATGCATTCTCAGGGATAAGAACCTTCTTTTTGACGATTCAACAATCATTCAGTTGTATTTCGTTAATTTCGAAAATCATTTTCTCACAAGATCACGTGATTCGAGACAAAACGTGAGATCTCAAATATATGATGAAAATGTTTCCTCAACTCGGAACCACATTGCGTGAGATCGTTATGATCTCATCGTGAGATCGAATGAAGACCAGACGATCAAAACTAGAATGACGAAATATTTCTTTACTTTTGACGAAATTCGTTTCCTTGAAGATTGTTGATAGTTATTTTGTCATTGACTAAATGTTCACTCGGAGCAAATACCAGGAAACGGTTTCGTCAAAAATAAATAGTTTTGTGGAATTTGAGTATCAATTTTTTACAGCGTGTAAGATTTATTTAATACGCAACTGGTAGGTTTAAAAAAATATTACTTATTTCTTCAATCATCATCCAATGATAGAACCAGGATCACATCTTAAATTAGAAAGTAAAATAAAATATTAAAAACAATGCTCACCAGAAGAATGCTTTCCCATGCCATCCAACGTATGGGTAATACAGCTCTCCCTTGGATCTTGTAATAGTCGGTGCTGTACAGACTTCGACTCATTCCAAAATCAGCAATTTTGATCACATGTGATCTACCAACCAAACAGTTCCTCGTCGCCAGGTCCCGGTGAACGAAATTCAGGGATTCTAGATACTTCATTCCGGAGGCGATTTGAGTGGCCATATATATCAGACATCCGTAACTGCGAAAATAGGAAACACAATTTAGAATTATAAGTATTTTTAAATAAAAATTTAAAAATGATTTAAAACATTGGACACGTCACTTCCAAAACACGTGGGAGGGAAATATTTAGCATAACTGTTTTTTTCGGGAAAGTGATGGGCTGTGAATTTTTAGTTTTGAGTCTGTTAAAAATAAAGTTATTTTCTTATTCTTAATCTACTTGGAAAAAAGAAGTTTTTAAATTTATTTTCTTATTTTTAGTTTCGTATCTTTTAATTTGTCTGTAATTTCGGAAAATTTTTTGAATGAAGTTAAATTTTGCTTGCACCACGCTCGTTCATTCCCTGAATTAACATATCATGAAAAAAAAAACAATTGAATGCACTAAGCAAACGGGATGGAGTCTCTTAACTGTTTTGATTTGATGCTTATATTTACCTCATAAATAAGGCGATTTGTGCAGCAAGGAAAGAGCTTCACTTGGTTCTATTACGAGCTTTACATTGTGCATTTATGAGGAAGGGAAATGCTTCAGAACTGGTTTTTGTTTACATTCTAAGCAAGGAAGTGGCTTTTATGAGGAAAATATTTACTCTTGACTTGAAACTCCTTTAACAGTTAACTTAGCTACGTCACGAAATAAAAATTTGACTAGTTGTCCATTCTTGTATTGTCCTCTGGCATAGAGCTCAAGTTAAAATTACAGCACTGTTGCTAGCCGTGTAGAGGTCGAAATTTCAATAGACCATAGATTCTATTTAGTGATTGAATGTCGATATAAATACTGCTTGTAGGGATCAATGAACTGTTAGGAAACTACTTGATTATTTGATTGTCTCTTATAGTGCGGCTTTGAGGAGAACTCCTCCAGACTAAAAGTCTGGGGCTACTATGGTAACAAGCGAGAGCATATTTCTAATAGGGTTTGAAATGGAGGAAAGAAGGTGTCATTTGGTTTACTCGCGACGACCTATGCTGAGATTAAGACAAAACTATTCACCCCACACCCCTATTCGAAGTGTCCTTTCCTCGTAACCATAGTACCCGCCACGAAGCGAGACGGGTGCCTGAAGGAGTTCTCCTGAAAGCCGCACTATAGACAGATGGTAAACTTTTAAACAGGTGATGTAACTACTTTGAATAGTATGGTTCTTTATAATAGTTCTTTATAACAGTATGGCTCTTTATAAAAATTTAGACAGGTGATCAATTTGCTAAGGTGGTCAACTTATCAAGTTACACTGCATTAACAAGAGGTTGTAAAATGAAACAAAAAGAGTATTATACCTCAGAGTTTTACTCGGTGTACCAGTTGGTCTGAAAGTGAGTGTTCCAGTCGTCTCTGGCACATGCTGTTGCAGGTACTGATTAAGGTCACCGTTCTCCATGTACTCGACTACCATGCATAAGGGACCGTCTCCCTGAGTGCATACTCCAAGCACATACACAATGTTTGGATCTCGCAGCTGTGAGAGTATGCGGACCTCCTTGAAGAAGTCGGCGCGCGTGTTGGCGCTAGCACCAGGACGCACACTCTTCACCGCCACCAGAGTTGAAGAGTTCCCGTGGCATGGGACGTCCACCAGCTCTGGAATACCTTCTGCGCGACAGAGATGCACCTTGAAAAACAAAACATTTCTTTAACGTCTTTTATCACACAGAGTGACTCGCAGAAAAATTAGTTTAATGTTGAACAACATTATTGATAACTTGAATCTTAATGCCGCACAACTTTGTAGAAATCTTAATCAGATGTTAAATTGAACCACGTTGCCTTTCAAGTTGGAAGATATTGCGCAAGCAAGCTTAAGGTACTAGATTACCTTTTCTAAGATAATTTTGACTAAAATGTCATTTATATAAATATAGAATAAAACAATGCACTTTTCTCTTTCTAAAATCATTTGAGTTTCGTTTCTACGTCAAATAGAACCGAAATTATAATGATTTAAAAAATAAAAAAGACAAAGAATTCATAGTTTATAAGTTCATAGGAGTGTCTGTGTTGTCCTTTTTTACAAAACTAATTTTTCGGTTATTTTTCTTAATTGTTAATGAAATATCTCAATATATTTTTGTTCAAATTATTTGCATGAATGTTTTCGTTACATATATCTACGGAACTGATTACGGACTAGTTGATTAAACTATGATTTTATATTTTATAGCTAAATTAAAAACACTTAATTGCAATTTTTGACTTTTTTGATGAATAAGTTTCTATATTTGCTGCAAACAATATCTAAATATTAATATAATATCTAATGCTTAGTCGATTCCGGAAGTTCAGTTTTTAAGAGTATAAAAAAGAATAATGAAAAAATAATAAATTTAAACAAAGATAAATGATTTTGAAAACGTGTCGACGTTTAGTATTTTTTGACCAGTTTTTTCCCCATATATTTTTTTAAAAAGTTTGTTTCATATTTCTTTATTTATAGCTTGTTTTAGTGTATAAGACACACATTCAAATAAAGAATTTCTAAATTAAAAGTTTCACGATTTTGTCTCTGAAGGTATTCGGGTACCTAAATATGGTTTAATTTGGCATCGTAATAAGGTTTAAGTAAATTTGAACGGCATTACGGTTCAATGCAATAATTTTTTTTATAACCGAATGGCTAAATCCCAAGAAGATAATTTTTTGTGGTAAAAGAAGTGTTTTGGAAAAATTTTGTTAAAGAACCCACTGTTAAGAATTCTTCAGTTTTTGACCAAAAATTATGTATTGGAGTTTTTGCTTTCTAATAATGAACAAACTTTAACTATTCTAAAACAATTTTAGTTTTTATTTTATTCTCATTAGTAGCATATTTAAGCGTTTTCAATCAAAAGCCTTTTCAATAACTCTTTACGCTTAGTGTTTACAAAATAGAAATTTTGACATATGGATTTCGATTTTTCTCTTAAAAGAGTTTTAAAAATTAGTCTGGTTCCTCTCCTGCAATTATTACACTCTTCTTTTCAATAGCATATAGCATAACCTCTGATCGAAAAGTGTACCTCTCGTACAAACATCTCTGCACACCACTGAAAAAACTACTGACTGATCTAGTTCAGTCTCACTTGTTGGATCTCTCTTTACCATAAGCCTTGTTTTTACTAGCACGTTAAGAAAGTTCAAACGTTCAAAATACTGGTTTTAGAAAGCTCAAGTGCACCTTAAGAAAGCTTAAATCTGCCAGTCAAAATGTGATATCAGTAGAATTTTTAAGTAATAAAACAATATAAAATTTACCTCTCCAAACTGCCCTTCGCCTAGTTTTTCTAAATAATGTAATTTATGACGAGGCACTTCTCTGACGGGTGGCAACATTTCTTCATCTACATTTGGTGCGGCGTATACAGTGTTACCACTGACGCCTTGTATGTTTGGCAGTTCTGTGACAGCTGTGGCAGCATAATGTCGTTCGGGACCGTTCACTCTTGAAAACGGAGATGTTTTGGTCGTGGTGGTGGGCATAACCTTCTTCACATCTGGGATAGCGTATTCTCGAGAAATTGCCGAACCTAAAAGAATAATTTATAGCACAGAAATTATTAAATCTGAGATTTATTATTAGGAAAGTTAGAGCTTTATAATTTCAAAATGCTATTACTTGAAGATTTAAAATTTTACAAAATTATTACTCTGAGATTTACAATTTTAAAATACTATTATTCTGTGATTTATTCTTTTATAATGTTATTATTCTAAGATATATCAATTTAAAGCACGTTAATATTTAGAGATTTATTAATTTAATTCCTTATTACCTTGAGATTTATACTTCTAAAACGCTATTAATCAGTGATTTATCCTTTTATAATATTACTATTCCAAAATATATCAATTTAAAGCATATTAATACTCGGAGATTTATTATTTCAGAATTATATTACTCAGATACTCAATATTATAAAACATTATTACACTAAGATTTGTCATTTTATAATGTTACTTCTCTAAAAATCATCAATTTAAAAAGTTATTACTGAGTAATTTTTTTATTTCAAAATGTTATTACTTAGATATTGATAACTTTCCAACCTTATTACTCAGACGTTTATCATCACAAAATGTTATTACTCAGAGATTTTATCATTTTTAAACTTTAATGGTCACTGAGTCATTATTTGAAAGGTTATTGATCATCGAATTATTATTTAAAAAAAATAATTTGGAATTCTGTTAAACATACAGAAACTATTTATAAAAATTATTACGCAATTAAAGTTAATAATCAAAGAGTTTTTATCGGAAGTATTTAATCTCAAATATCATTTGGGAACGCTAGTATTTAAACAATTATTATTTTTAAAATTAATAATCAGAGTGACGTTAATAATATTTTTTGGAAAGTTAATGTAAGTTCTTACGCTAACAATCCGATTTTAGTAAGAATTAATGTTTAACAATTCGATTTTTGTAATTTATATTTAAAAATCTAAGATCTGTTATTGAATTGAATTGTGCTAGAGATCATCCGTTAAGAATTTTCATTTTTGTTGATTGGCAAATAAAAGAATAGACATGTAAATAAACCAAGAACCAATCACATAACGATAAACAAAAGTAGCGGTCACCCGTAGGTGACGTCATTGAAAGCAAAGACTGCAAAGTACATTATGGTAACCAGAAATGTGATTTCAGTAAAACTAAACGAAAATTATAGCCAACCCAAGGGGCCTCCGATTCTACGCTAGAGCCTCATAGGGTTAGTTTTCGACATTTTCAATATTTGTGAAGAGTTAGTTTTTAGCTACATTAAGTTTGGAGTAGGTTCAGTAAATTGGCCTAAAACAGCTGCAAATAGGTTTATGGTAATGTTGCAAAAATTATTCACCATTGCAATAAGCTCCAGTGTAATTCACTTTCATGTCTTGAGGTTCTTGATACAGCAGTTTATCAGGATCATCGGCAGCGACTTGACCATACACAGAACCATTCGAGAGGTGACTGGGACAGGAACTGAATGTCAGCCCAAGATCCTATAAATAAATTTTAAGAAATAGCGTTATAACAAATTTCATAATGTGAAGGGTCAAGATCCTGGCAACAGAAATACTGCAGCCAGACATAGGGCGCTGCAGATTAGGGGAGCATTTGCAAATTAGAAGATCATCTGCAGATTAAAAGAGTATCTGCAAACTAGGAGAGAATCTGCAGATTAAAAGAGTATCTGCAAGCTAGAAGAGAATCTGCAGATTAAAAGAGCACTTGCAGATTAGGATAAAAAATTTAAATTTAAATAACAAATTTTTAAAAATTGTTTACAAGTTTTGTTTATCTTGTATACGCTAATTTTGCTAAACACATGTAAGTTTAGTTTATCCAATAATAGCTCCTGTTGGACTATGCTAGGGTCGGAGACAAATTTGAATTTACGAACATTGTATTGCAGATTGACCATCCATAATTCTGCCGTGACTGCAGATTGAGATCCGTAATTCTGCTACCGGGATTAAGAGTGCTGAGTATGTTTCCATGATTTCTGGCTAATACTGGAAAAGCTTCGTTTCTTCTGCCGTTTTAACTCAAATAAGGTTACATCATTCAAAAAGTTCTGTATGAAGGCAAGCTTGTTTCAATACTTAAATCAAGAGTACTCTAGTTTTTCTGGGTTTAAAATTATAAAGGCGTGAAAAGTTATATGAATTCTGGATCACTCGGGGGATAGAGTACTCGCCTACTAATGCCGCGACCCAAGTTCAAATTCCGGTCATGGTGGGTCAATTCGTATAAATGCTTCCAGTTTGCAGTGCTGATATGAAGTATTTCCTGTGGTAGACAATCCAGTGGTATGGGTCAGAGTCCCGTTTCCACAAGAGTAACAATGGGGAGGTTTTCGTAATTTTCTCTCCGTGTAATACAAACGTGGGTTAGTTTTACTTAAAAACTTCTCCCATTAGCCAATTTTTCCCTAATGATTGATTCAGAAATTCCCTCGTCTTCTGTGTTAGGTTCAAAATTACTGCCAAGGCTACGTAAATGAACATTCATAGGGTCGCACATTTGACATGGATCAGCTGTTCAATATCAATAAAAAAACAACTCCGTTTATATTCTATTTAAAGAAGATTATAAAACTACACAATTATAATACAAGATTAAAAAAATAATGTAACGATAATTAGAAAATGATTAAATAAACAAAAAAAAAATTAAATAAACAAAAAAATAAAACAGATTAATAATTAAAAAAAATGTAATGATATAAGCTTAAACATTTATTTCGCTAAACATAATATTTTAAGCAAGGGTAATGCCCCTTGGCAGAATCGCGGCGACACGGCGACATTGTCGCAGAACGTTAAAGAGTTCTTGCAGAAAGAGTTTCCTTTAAAAAGTAAAAAATTTTGATTTTCTTTTCTGCAAAAATGTGTGAAATTTTTTTCCTCTAAAATTATGCTTAAAAGATGTTTTTTTCGAGCATCAGAGGGGAAAGAAATGTTCTTAATTTTTCGATTCTCATTTGAGAAGAATGAACAGTAAAGAATATTGAAGCGAAAAATTTCGTTTCTGCAGAAATGTTTGAAATATTTTTTTTCCTCTACAATTGATTTTTTTTATTTATTCCCTTTTGGGAAAAATTTATAAAAAATTGGTTTTCTTTTCTTTCACTGATTTTACGATTTTTAATTATTTTTTAATGTGATGATGGTTCACGAAAGGCGAAAAAGGAAATAATTAGTGTGTTTTCCTCTCACAAAATGTGAGAATATTGCTCATGATATTAAAATTAAAAATATTACTTATTCATTTAAAAAACAAAACAAAAAAAAATAATTTTATTATAACCAAATAGGCTTTTCTTTGCATATAAAACATTTCTGTTACTTTAAATTTAATTAATAACATGTATATTAGTTATTATTAAAAGTATCTTGCAGAAAGATATTAGTGCTAGAGAAGTTTGTCGCAGAAAGCCCAAAAACGTTCTGTCACAGGGGGGTAATGTAAATACAAAATATTGATCATCCGTTATTTTATAACAACTTAAAGTGGTTAAATACACGCATTGTAAGTAATTGTTATAAATTTGTCATTTAGTTTAACACGCAATTATTTACGTTTAGCCTTTTAAATCTTCTGTCTTATGATAGGGAAATAAGATTTATAATATATAATTTAACATGAGCTTGAGAAATCACCAGCAGGTTATAATGAATAGAGTGTGCGTCATTTTATCTCAGCTGAGTCTAATATGAATTGCAGTAATAAATAATAAATTTCCCTCTCAAGTTGGGGGGGGGGGTATATTGCCAATTGCTCAGTGTTCATCTTAGCAATGCATATATCACTGTAGTGATACTAATGCAACACATTAATTTCTAATGTGTCATAAATCTATTAGACGTTTCAGTAATTAACGTAGAATAATGGTAATGAGCAATTATGAATAAAATTTCGGATTTCTACTAAACGTGGTTTTTATAATAGCATTACAAACATCATAGCCTAAATCCTGCTTTTGGTCGAAAGTTTTGTTTCCTGCCAGCTAATTGTGTTTAGATATAGCTTTTCTTTCTGTTTTTGGTCATCGGACTAGTTATTTTTTTAGTAAAGAGTGGGCCGAAACGTCGAGAACTTGATCCGTTTGTTGTCTTCAGAAAAAAAAAGCAATAATATAAAGACTGTTGCATCGAAATTGAAACGGGTAATAAATTGAAATGGAGCGGTGTACAAAATGAAAAAAATAAATCTTTAATAACTTTTATTCTAACTATTAGATTTTCACGAACTAGTGAACAAAACTTTTTTAGTCAGACAAAACTTTTCGGTTCGCTTAAAAAGTTCCCCAAATACCAGAAAATTTGCATTAAGTGTAATTAACATTATGGGACATTTTGACAACACTCCAGACTAAACTAAAAGGAATATATTTTCCAGATTGCGGCTTTCTATCATATTTTGTTATTTTCATTTTATAACGGTCGTTGAACAGCCGACCCAATTTCGGGTTTACGACAACTAATACTCAACTCCGTAGCCTTGTAAATTTGAACCATGCCAGAAGACAAGGAAACTCCTGGATCAATACCTCCAGAGGTATGATTTGTTATGGGAACATGGAGGACTTTGTGACTCGACAGATTTGACGTGCATCAGTCACCATTTACTACACGGGGTATCTTCGGCCAACAGGGACAGAACCCACGACCTCTTGGACATTGGCCCAGTGCCCTAATAACCAGGCTATCCCTGCCTTCGCATATTTTGTTAGTCAAAAAATGCAACTCCGTCGAAAAAAAGGTATGTTAGTTAAGAGAAAGTACATTTTTGTGTCTGGTTTTGCAACTTAATTGATAGTTAGCACTAATTAATTAAATTATTTGAGGCCGCGCCTTTGGACACTTAGTACAGGAAAATTCGATTATTAGAACAAAAGTTATTTAAGATTCTGTCTTTTTTTATTTCACGCTTATTATAAAAAGTTATTTTTATTGCTGTGAGGAAGAGATTTGACAAATAGCTATCGCAGTGTCCTTTTTTAACATAATAGTTCTAAAGTTAGCATTAGAAAAAAACTCTTATGCAAAATCCATCAACAGATACAAAACAATCATAATTGCTCTATCAGTCACGGTGCGTTGTAAGTCAAAACCAAAACTTTAAAATCAAAGTATTAGGGGACAATCCTAGAATAAAAAGTAGAACATTCGTTGCTTTAATCTAGATTTGGAGGAAAGAATTTGATTTAAATTGGACATTTTTCGCCATTGTAAGAAAATTGAATTGTTGAACTCTTAGTCGGAGGACGTTGATTAATATTTTATACAGCAAAACCTAACCTAAACAGGCTTTTGATTTTACGGAAACTTGACTTTAGTGGAAATATTTTTCTTATTCTGTGTAATACTTATCGCAATTTTAGTTAGTACTTAAAACAAATAAATATGAGCAGCAAATCATATTAGTTATTCTTTAAAAAATTATTTTAGTGTTTCATACTTAACATTATATACTAACTTACTAACATTAAATACTAACTTTACTTAAAATTAACTTATTGACAAACATTAAATAATACTTAACCTTAGTGTATAAATATTACGTCTCCATACGATTTCTTAGATGACACGTTTACCGTAATTATTTGGGAATAATTTACCTATCGTGTGCACTTAATTGTTAACTTATAAATTAATTTTAAAATATTTGGATTTTAACTCACAACGCTCTTCGGTCAGATTTTATTTTCTTTTATAACCGTCGTTGAACAGCTGACCCAATTTTGAGTTTACGACTACCAATGTTCCATACTAATAATATACTAATAATAATCCATAGTCTTGTAATTTTGAACCCAATCTAGAAGGCAAGGGAACTTCTGGATCAAGTATTGAGAGAAACTTGCCTTTAAGGAGGACTTTCTGATGGAGTAACTCCATTTGCGTTACATGGAGAGAAAAAAACCACGAAAACCTCCCACTGTTAGCCAGACGGCAAAGGGGATCTAACCCATGATCCGTCTACCACTGAGGATATTTTGCGCCAGAACTGGGGTCGGTACAATCCGGATGCGGAATTCGTATCGACCAACCATCGCTGGGATTCAAACCCAGGTCACCTCATTGGAAGGCGAACGTTCTATCCCCTGAGCCATCACGACTAACTACATAACCTTGTAATTTTGAACCTAATCCAGAAGACAAGAGAACTCCTAGATCAAGTATTGGAAGAAATTTGCCTACGAGGAGAATTTTTGATGGCATTTGTATTACATGGAGAGGATCCTTGACAAGTAAGTGTCGTCTGCATAGGGCAGCATATAGAATTGAAGCAACTCTTATGTACTCGACTTCATTATTTTTATATGAAATGACATCCGAGTTCACAAAGAAAGGCTACTATTTTTACGCATTTAATTTGATGAAAAAACATTTCGGGGCGTTCATGAGGGTGCTTGATATTTGTAACATCTGTAAGCATTACTCATTAAATTTTAACTTGGCATGCCTATTTCGTAATATAAATAATGAATAATATTTGCCCATAGCAATAACACAGCTCTAACAGTTTTTTTCCCTTTTTGTCTTGTTTGATTTTAAGTGATCAAAGTGATGTTAATCCTTAATATTAATTTATTTAATTCTCATTTTAAAAAAGTACATAACAAAACATAAAACACAGCTTCGAATATTCCTTTTCGAATATTTTTGTATGAAATGAAAAGAAGAAAAAAGCTTACCTTCATGTTGATGGTCACCCTGTTCTCTCCCGGCCTGAGGACGTTATGGGGTGACGTGTTCTTCCTCCTCTTGTTCCTGGCTATAATGACAAAGATGACCACCACCAAGAGAAGGATGACAGCAGCCAAGACCCCGATAACCAAACCCACATATTGGTTGCCAAGAGCATCTTCGTTCAAAGCTGTGCTCACTAGACCAGAAAAGCAAAAAGAACATGAAACAACAGGTTTTGATTAAAAAACACGTACAACAAATGACATTAATGATTACGTGATTATTATTCTACGTTAATTATAACTTAGTAAAAGAGGAATGTGAATTTCTGGCCTGTATCTTTATAATAATTGTGATCTAAGTATTTTGTGAATTCTGATTGGACAGAAAAGTCACGTGATACGATCATTACAATACAAGAAAGAAAAAGAAAATCCAGATATCTGTTATTAGCGTAAAATTAATAAAAGTTATAACGATATTTACCGGCAAATAATTTATTTATTTTTTATTTAACGATATTTACCAGTAATACTTTTTTTCGTTATATTCACGATTTTGATTTTGGTTATTAGAAAAATTTTGCATAGTGTTTGTCTTGCGTTATTTTATTTTATAACCGTCGTTGAACTGCCGTCCCAATTTTTGGGTTTACGACTACTAATGTTCAACGCCGTAGCCTTGTAATTTTAAACCCAATCCAGAAGACAAGGGAGCTCCTGGATCAAGCGTTGGAAGAAATTTGCCTTCGTGGAGGACTTTTTGATGGAGCTGATCCGTTTTTATGTTATATGGTGAGGAAGACCACGAGAACCTCCTATGGTTAGCCTGATAGCAAGGGGATTGTAACCCATGATCCGTCTGCCAATGAGGAAATTTCACGTCGGCACTGTGGTCGGTGCAAACCGGAAGCGGAATTCGTATCGACCAGCCATCGTTGGGATTCGAACCCGATTCACTGACCTATCACGGCTCTTTGTCTTACGTTAGCCTTAATCTTATTTTTAATTTCAAAGTAGTGCTGTGATTGGTAGGAAAATTTTCGCAAAACGCTGGCAAGAATTCGAGAGAAACATGCAATGCCTTGCGGAATCTTTCTAAAGTTCAAAATTTAAAGTTTATAACTAATTGCCTGGTATCAGGTGTTACAGAACAAATCAACAGCATTATTTTCATAAATCCAAATTCTAATAATTCACAATAATAATCTCCATCTGACTCCAACTCAATCAGGCAGAGATTATTATTGTAAATATTCAGCTTCATCTAACATACCCATAGCGAAATATGCAAATATAAGGTCCTTAAAAATTATACATAAAAAATTTCTTTATTTTAAATTAAGTTGAATAAGGAATAAATTAAGTTGAAAGTTGTTAAGTTAAGTTGAAAAAGGAATAAATCCTTATACAGTTACGCCTGTATATTTCTATACTTTAAATTCTATACTTTTTGTTATTTGCAGTGTTTTCTCAACTCAGTTTTTTTCCCCTATTTTATTAGAAGCAAGTTTAAAGATGCTTTACAAAAGAGTCACAGCAATTTGCTCCAATTTGTTTGCGTGCGTTTTTAAAAATAAAATAAAAATAATCTGCATAAGTGTAATAATCTGTTGCACCCGCTATCGTGCTGGAATGTTACTGTTACTGGGACTAAAGGAAATGTTTCCTTATTATTATTGTTTATAAAAAAAATAATCGCATGATATTACTTTATAATGCAACATTTTGTGACAAACAAATTTATTTTCCAGTTTAAAGTTATTAAACGGTAAATAAGTTATATTTACTTTTTAATAAGTTATATTAACTTTTATGTTTATTTATGTATTTATTTATATTTTTTATTTATATTTTATAGATTTTCGTAATTCAAATCAATATAATTCCATCAATTACTAGTAATTATTGTTAGTAATTCAATGTTTTAATTCAGTCGATTCATGAGCTAAGCCAATGTCAACTTTACAAGATAAAAAAAAATTGAAAGATAAAAATGCTAAGATAACTCTAATGCAATATAAAACTGAATTAATATTGGATATAAATAAATTGTAAAACATACTACCTATAGGTGGAGCTGCAGGAGGTTCTTCTTCCGTGAAATTACCCACAGCTGGTACTAAAATTAAAAAAGTAAACTTGAGTTACTTTATGCTCCATTAGGATGGTTATTGGCATATAATAATCACCAACATTTAATAATTCTTGTAAAAATATGGTCGTTAGTAACTAAATCTATTGGTTATAAATCAATATACACGTGAGAAAAAATAAACAAAAGCCAGAAAATAGAAAATAATAAAAGTAGAAAAATCATAGAAAAAAAAAACAGCAATGGATTTAACGAAAGAAGAAGAAATCAGGATACGAAATTATCGGTTGGTCAGTGAACATTAAAATTTGACTTGGATCACCATAAAATAATTTAAATAATTACAAGTAATCCGCTGGATAGATGTAAAGGAATGATACACTGTTTAGGTTTTTCGATTTTCAGTTTAGTGTTTTGGCTTGTATTTCTGTCTAATATCACATTCCGTCATAATTGCGAACATTACACATTTTCTTCATTTAAATTTTTTAAATTAAATAAAATTTATTAGATTCTTAAAGAAAAAAAAATATTTATGATTTAATATTGAGTATTTATAATAATAAGATTTAGATTATAGACTATTTCCAATTTTAGGAACTAAGATTAGATAATTTCTAATTTTAAGATCTAATATTAAGTCTTTTTCCTATTGGGATTTAATCTCATAAATCTTAACATTAGAAAGACTTAATACTAAATCTTAAAAATTAGAAACACTTTATATTAAACCTTAAATATTAGAATTTTTTTTTTTTTGAAAACAAATTCTAATATTTAATATTAAGTATTTCTAATATTAAGATTTAAGAGATTTAATCCCAATAGGAAAAGGACCACTGAAAATGCCTACGGAGTAGTATTACTTTTAATTACTGGTCCTTCGGAACAGTGACTACATTTTCTTAATTTATACCTCTGAAAACATTATCGGTATTTGAAGAATTGTTATCAAGGTCAATCATTATGGATTCAGAATTTACATTTTGGGTACTATTTAAATAGTTTGATAAAATTTACAGGTAGATAATTTAAATGTTATTGGTTCGAATAATTCAGTAGGGTGATGTAAGAATTGTCAGTAAAAGGTTTAGGATTTTAAAAACCAGTACTATTTAAATTAATAATTTATTTTCGAAAATAAGAGTGGTGCCTAGAGTACACCCTGTATAAAAATTCAAACATTTATTTTGAAAATTGATATCGAAAAAGAAGACTTACCTGAATCAAAACTAACTTCGGAGATAAGTATCCACCTAGCTGCAAAATGTAGTTCGACTTTCACAGTACGCCCTATTCCATGATGCAGGAAGATGGTGACATTTCTAGAGCGTTCGAAAAATATGTCAGGCATGTATGAGAACTGAACTGCTTGGTTATTGAAGTATCGCCCTCCCACGCTGAACCATATTTTTGCAGAAGCAAAGACCTAGAGAATAAAAATTAATAATTTTTATTGTAAGTTATAATATTCAGTTTATTGTAATATTCAGAAACAGTTGTCGAAGTGCAAACAAGAACGAGTAAAATATTTTGAATATGGTGCTGCCATCTATAAACTTTACTTATAAACAGGAAAAACTTCACTAGATTATCGAATGTTTAAATTTAAGGAATAAAATTCCATATACATTTAAAAAAATTGTTTCAAAGAGAAATATTTTTTTCAATTAATTCTATCTGAATCTTTTTCAAACTAAGCTTTAATTTCTCAAAAAAGATTTTTAAAAAATTATAATTCTCAAAACACAAACATGTTTTGACTTTTATGGTGCTGCCATCTTTAGATATTGTATCAAACTATTTACGGTTTATTTCTGTGTTCCTTTGATTAATTTACGTTCTCTTATTCAATTATTAAATGTAAATTTAAAAATAACAAAATATTAAACATTTTGAATATGTTTTGTATGTATATTTTTCTGTTTTACTTGAAAAAGTCGCATAATTCCGAGTTCTAATTTAAATTGCAATGCAAAATGTTGAAAAAATGAATAAACAGAATACAACAAATTAGATAATAAGTACTTTCACAGGTTAATAAGGTTTCCAATAAACAATAAAATTAACAATGTTCAGAATTGAAAAATATATGACTATATTTTAAACCAAACACTTAAAGTGTGAAATCATTCATAATATCTAAGATAAAAGAATGCATAAAAATAATTTATATTAAATTTATTACAAAAAAAAAAAAAAAAAAAAAAAAAAAAAAAAAAAAAAAAAAAAAAAAAAAAAAAAAAAAANAAAAGGGTGCTTTATTACTAAATGTAAATTAAAAAGTCATCTTAGATTGTGTTTAACTTAACTAACATCTTAGATTGTGAGACTATATACAAAAAAAAAATATATATATATTTAAAAATTTCCATTTGCCGTTTTTTAAAATTTATTTTACCATGAAGTTTTTAAAAATAGGTTTAAGAATGAAGAATAATAAAGACAAAAAAATTTAAATCAAAAGTAGAATCAACATTTGTAACAGATGTTGTCATGAATTGAGAAACTAGTTCTAATTTAAATTCATAAGTTGTGAAACAAAAATACAGTTGACTACTAAGACACTAGGGAGATCAATAGTTTTATATGGCAGCTAACGCTGGGTAATTAACCAAGCAGATGAAGAGAAACTGATGACTTTCGAGAGAAAAATATTACGAAACATGTTTGGTGCAATAACGGAACCTGGAGAATTCGTTACAACCATGAATTACAATTAAAATATAAAGACCCTAACATAGTAAAAATGATCAAGGTTTGTCAAATAAGGTGGCTAGGACACGTATTAAAAAGTAACCTTGAAACAAAGGGAAAAAGAGGAAGATCTAGAACAAGATGGTTAGTAAGAGTTGAAAAGTGGTTAAAGGACTTGGGAGTTAATACAGGGAGAAATATAGCATCGAATAGATCTAGATGGGGTAAACTGACTGAGACTAAGTTAGCCGGTAACCGGCTGCAGTGCCAAAAGGAAGAACATAAAGTTTTGCAATTTAAAATTTTCAAATAGAGAAATCAACGTATTTAAAGGCGCAATTCATTCGAAAATTGAAAACTTAAATATAGGTAAGACTTACTTGGACGTCTCTGGAATGCATGTTGTTGCAATAGAAGTAGAGAGCCGAGAAGTTTCTGACCACATCGAACGTGAAGATAATCTCAATGGGACGAGATTCTACCCCAGTTAAAACATCCGTTGAAAGAGTGCTAATGCCTCCACTATCGTTCTTCCAACCTAGCCACTCATAGCCTAGGAGAGAAGAAAAAATATATAATTATAATTTTAAAACATCTGTTGTAATTGGAAATATATAACCGGGAAAGTTTAAAATCCGATATTGTATATGATGCCTAAAACTATAACTATAACGGTTCCATCTGGGGGTATCCGTTTCAAGTTAAGAACCATTGCGGTATAGCATTAAGAACTACCGCATTAAGGACCATTGCGGTTGCGATATAGGATTTTTAGTAATCATTCACCAGTGCATGTAGTTTATTTCGTTTTATTTCATTAACAAATTTTGCATATATGCTTTCAAGACAACGTAAAAGCTTTTAAATTGTTAAAAACGTTAGACAGATGTTTGATTCGTACTGTCTTTAAAGATAGTGTTCTCCAACCTTTTTATCACTGCGGACCTGTCAACGTTTGATAATTTTACTGTGGCCCGTTGGCGGGAGGGAGGGGGGACGTTGACTATTTATATTTTGGATTATTTTGATTTATTAATTTTAATTTAATTGTATTTAAACATGCCTTCAAAATAAAATACAGTTACACCAAAAAATAAATATAAAGTGATTTAACATTTTAACTTACTAGAACGTTAAATCAATGAGAACCCTGAGCTTGTTTCTTTGCAATGAGACGGTTCCATCTGGGGGTAATCGGAGACAATGATACATTACAAATATTAAAAAATTTATGTCACTACCTTCGGGGGCCCCCCTTTTATTTAAATAAATAAAATTTTAATGGAACACAGATATTTTTAATTTGGGGTATAAACCTAGGAATTTAAATTCAGTTTCAATTAAATGGGTGACCCGGTACCATTTGATCCACGGACCGGGGGTTAGGGCATAGAATTATTTAAAAAAAGGTTATAGTTTCGTAGCCTTACTGGAATCCGGGACTCGGTGACATATTTAGATAAATAAGTAGGATTCGTACTTGAAAAAGAAACAACAACATGAAGTTGCAAGATCATTGGATTTGATTGGACCACAAAAAAAGGCGCGTCTTATGCCGACATGCTCTTAACAAATCAAATGCGAGATAAGGAATTTTTACTTAGCTATTAGTCCCTTCTAAAGCCCAATTAATTCTTAATGGCAAACTGGCATATATAGTTTAAAATTATTATTTTGCTTCAACTGCAAGGCCCTTAAACTGTGGCTTTTTTTTAAAAAATTATTTTCCCTGACGAAAGAGTTTCGATAAAGCATGTATTATAAAAGTGTTAGTCTTGTCTTTATTTATTGTCATGAAAAATTCTATCCTTTAAATGTTTGAAAGATCATGTCTCGAATTGAATAATAAGTCTTATCATTATCTTCATAAAATCTCAATCCTCTATTTCTACGAAAAATCACGTTACAGTCAAAGTTCGAAATTTGTCCCTGTGCTCTTTAAGTTAACTAATCTGTAGACTATCTTGTTTCTTCAGTAAAAATGCAAAATATTCCCAGACTTAACTTAAATAAAGTATTCTGAATCTTTGAATATTGAAAGTTTCTTTCTTTTCCTCCTTTATTTATTTTCTCTATTTTCTATAGAATGTGTCGCCAGCAGTGACATAAATAACACCCCCGCAGAACCACAGTGAAGGGAAGAAGCATTAAGGGCGGAGACGCCTTGAAATTATTACAGAAAGTTCCATATTTATGAATCTGACTAAGGGGCTCGAGTCATCGTAAGTACGCCACTGGTCGATGACGCTTTTTTCTTTACTTTTTCAGTGACCAATGCTTTTAAGTGATATTTTTGCTAGTAACAACACGAATTTGTCGTTAAAAATACGTATAAAGAGCACGTGTCAGTATAATGATACACCGCAATTCTAACTTGTTTAGGAGAGCTTTTTTAGAATCAAAATCAAAATTTTTATATAGACCAGGAGTTTCCAACTTACATGTGGCCGGGGGCTGCAATTAAAAACACCAGTCAAATGGCGGGTCGCAACTGTATCAAAATTTTATATGGGACTCTTTTATGTTTGAAGAAACATTAACTATTACTGTCAGATTTTTATCAAGTTGTACAAAACAAAAGTATTGAATTGCAAATTAAAATAACAAGTAGATTTTTACCTGAGAAAGAAATTTTTCGCACCGTTTTTATGTTAAATTTCCCAGAAACGAAGAAATTAGGTTTCTTTTGTAACGAAGCAAAGTACTTTAAACCCATATAGACTTTTTACGAAAATTTACCGCAAAAAATGACAACTAATATATTTTAGTTCGTGGGCCACAAAAAAAGGTTTGGCTGGCGGGTGTGGCTCGCGGGCCGCCAGTTGGTAACCACTAATACAGACATTATGATTCCGTGTTTTGTACTGTATAGGGAAATTTCCGGAAGTTTGCAAAGTAAAGATTTGAGCCTCGATGGCTCAGAGGATAGAGCGTTCACTTTCCAATCAGGTGAACCGGGTTCGAATCCCAACGATGACTGGTCGATACAATTCCGTATCCGGCTTGCACCGACCACAGTGNGGATCAGTATAATTATACACCGCAATTCTAACTTGTTTAGGAGAGCCTTTTTAGAATCAAACATCAAAATTTTTATATAGACCAGGGTTTCCAACTTACATGAGGCCGGGGGCCGCAATTAAAAACACCAGTCAAATGGCGGGCAGCAACTTTATCAAAATTTTATATAGGACTCTTTCGTGTTTGAAGAAACATTAACTATTACTGTCAGATTTTTATCAAGTTGTACAAAACAAAAGTATTGAATTACGAATTAAAATAACAAGTAGATTTTTACCTGAGAAAGAAATTTTTGCACCGTTTTTATGTTAAATTTCCTAGAAACGAAGAAATTAGGTTTCTTTTTTAACGAAGCAAAGTACTTTATACCCATATAGATTTTTTACGAAAATTTACCTCAAAAATTACAACTAATATATTTAAGTTCGCGGGCCACAAAAAAAGGTTTGGCTGGCCGGATGTGGCCCGCGGGCCGCCAGTTGGCAACCACTGATATAGACATTATGATTCCGTGTTTTGTACTGTATACGGAAATTTCCGGAAGTTTGCTAAGTAAATATTTGAGCCTCGATGGCTCAGAGGATAGAGCGTTCACCTTCCAATCAGGTGACTGGGTTCGAATTCCAACGATGGCGGGTCGATACGAATCCGCATCCGGCTTGCACCGACCACAGTGCTGACGTGAAATATCCTTAGTGGTAGACGAATCATGAGTTAGAGTCTTATGGGCTAGAGTACCCAGGCTAACCGCGGGACGTTCTCGTGGTCTTGTCTGGCCCATGTAACGCAAATGCGGGTTGGCTCCATCAAAAAGTCCTCCACGAAGGCGAATTTCTCCCAATACTCGATCCAGGAGTTCCCTTGTCTTCTGGATTGGGTTCAAAATTACAAGGCTACGGAGTTGAACATTAGTAGTCGTCAATCCAAAAACTGGGTAGGCTGTTCAACGACTGTTATAAAATTATTAAAGTAAGTATTTGGAAACAATACTAATGTAAAAAGTTAGGTTTAAAAATTTCTATTTTTGTGAAAGTGTGACTTATAAAAAAGTTGCCTCTAATTGCTTAAAACTAATTGCCTTGCCCTCTCATACAATAAACATTCTATTAAAATTATTTAAAACTAATTAGTTCAGTTTTAATTTAGGACTCGCTGCTGTTATAATGGTAAATATCTTATTCCTACCTTAACGAGTGAAGTATAGTGTTAGATAAACTGGTTGAAATGCAAAATAAAATAATTATTATATTTCGATTCTGAATTTCGCACTCTAATGAAAACAATAGTATATATCTGGTCAATATATGAATGGAACAAATTTATTGTATGTGCTGATTGGCAGTTATTTTTTGATGAAAAAATGATACTTTTTTTTAAAAATAGAGGTAGATATTGAAAATGACGAAACATTTGTTAAAAATGATGAACAAAAATTGGCTACTTTAAGTAAACTATGTTTGTTTTTATGCGGAATATACACTGAATTCAACAAGTAGAGCGAGATTTTTATTTGCAATTTTAACATTTTTGTGGAAGATTGTTTCGATAGACAGAGAGAAGGCTTTGAAACTGATTGAAAAGTGCTGTCCTAGGTCTATAATTTTTCTAATACTTAAAACCTTTCCTATACTATTATTAAATCTTACACATATTTTTGAAATAATATATATATCGAGTTGACAAAAATCCTTTCTAATCAAATTTGATGATCTACGAAGCATTGGCAAAAATTAAATCTAGGACTGCTTATTTCCTGATCCATCAAAAAAATCTTGCGCAAAAAATTTAAAAATTGCAAATCAAAGTCCTGCTCTACTTGTTTATTTCCAATAAAAACAACACATTAAGTTTTCTTGTATGAGACGTGAGTGTAAAAATGTGCCTAAACAGTTTTGAAGGTGAAAATAAAAACACACGATGTACTTGCTGAATTCAGTACATAATCTCAATAAAAGCAATGCAAAAAAGTTTTTTTTATGAGACGTGAGTGTAAAAATTTGCCTAAGCAATTTTGAAGGTGAAAATAAAAACAAACGCTGTACTTGTTGAATTCAGTACATAATCTCAATAAAAGCAATACATAAAAGTCTTTGTATGAGACGTGAGTGTAAAAATTGGTCCAAACATTTTTGAAGGTGAAAATAAAAACACACGCTGTACTTGTTGAATTCAGTACATAATTTCAATAAAAGCAATGCATAAAAGTCTTTGTATGAGACATGAGTGTAAAAATTGGTCTAAACATTTTTGAAGGTGAAAATAAAAACACACGCTGTACTTGTTGAATTCAGTACATAATCTCACCGTACATAATCTTCAGTACATAATCTAAACCGTACTCGTTGGATTCAGTACATAATTTCAATAAAAGCAATACATAAAATTGTTTTTTTTTATGAGACGTGAGTGTAAAAATTTGCTAAAACATTTTTGAAGGTGAAAATAAAAACACTCGCTGTACTTGTTGAATTCAGTACATAATCTCAATAAAAGCAATGCGTAAAATTCTTTGTGTGAGACGTGAGTCAACACCACTATGTTTAATTAAATATGTTTGGATGACAACAACTAAGATGAATATAATATAAATAAATAAATAAAAAGAGCTTGTACAATACACGTTAATAGGAAAATGAGTAATCAATCAAGTTACCTTTTCCGAAACCCGTGTTGTCCACCCGGAAGTTGTCCTCTCCTTTCAGCCCATCGGTCAACTGTCCCAGACCGCCATGGAGATAACTGTCATCCTTAATACCGTCATAGATCTTGTCCGACAGGTTAATGTCTATTCCTCTCCTCTCACCCTGTGGCATGGCATAGGACACAAGACCCTCTGCAACAAGACACCCGTGTTAATAGATTAAATTGATCATTTTGAGGAAATCTCAAATAGTTCATTATTTCTTCACTCTCCAAACTTTCCGAAAAACATTTCTTAAAGATCGAATTCTTTAGATAATTGAAGAGCTTAGTGGAAGAAAGTTCTGAGCGACATTTTTCTGCACTTAAGAAACACCAGTTTATAGCGACTGTACCGAAGAGATTTTTCCATTAAAAATTGTCTTACTTAATGCTCTGAAAGGAAAATATTGAGTTCTATTTGCATAAAAAGTGGTACCTCTATTTAGATCATAGAATCCGTTCTAATGGATATCGATGAAATTCGGTACGTACATTATAAGGACTACACATAAATAAATGCTTCGTATGTAAAATAAACAGCGTCCTCAAAAAACTGGTAGCAAAATATCTAAAAGAACATTCGAAAACTCACCTCCTTATGTTTTTTAATAAAATTCTTTTGATAAGAGAATCCCTGCGATGGATATTTGTTTTAAGAACATGAATTTTAAAAGATAAAGCAGTTAATTTTCACATATTTGTATAGAAATTTTACTACCAGTTTTTTAGCTTCTGGAGGATGATGACCAGCATATTCAGATGGACCACGTTGTATGACCCAACCATTGTCAAGCACCTATTCTTGTTTTTTGGTAACACTGGTTGGATTGGTAACACTGCTTAAATTTGAAACTCATTACATTTGCAGCAAAGTTTTCAGAAATATGTCCTGTTAGCAGCAAAAAAATTTGTTATTTTAATAAATTTGATTAAAAAAAGACCTAAATTTAGAATTTAATGTTCGGAATTATTCATTATTTTAGAAAGCACTCTTTGCATTTTAAAACAGTGCCATGATTCAGAGAGTACTTTCATTGTTTACAATAAAAAAAGAACATTCTTAAAAAAAGAGAGGAAAATAAACGAAAGCATTTAAACATAAATATTGAAGATAGTATTGACATTCATTTCGCAAAAGCACACATAAAGAAGTTAGTACATTTATGTCTCACTAAAAGGAAAAAGAAGAATTTAAAAACCACTAAAAAGGTTAGAGTTTTTAAAATTTTCTAAATACATAAATAAATTTCGAGAAATATAATTTTAAATAAATTAAATTATTCAAAAAAATTAAAGCGCAAAGATATACTTGATGAAAAATTATTTAATCGGAAAACTTCGACAAGATTTCAGCGGTTGAAATGATCCATTCTCAAGAGGATGAGAAAAACAAATTATATTTAAAATAAGAAACCACTAATCCAACGAAATAAATAAAAAAAAAAGTGAAAAACAAACAAGAATAACTGTGTTAGTCGAGGAAAACGACGATGACCATTTTTTCTCCCTAAATAACTTTTAATGTTTTTCCTTCATCAAGTATAGTTTGTCATATTTAAATACTAATTTCATAATTAGAGATAATTAAAGATAAGTATATTTAAGATAAATATAATAATTAGAGATAAATATAATAATTAAAGATAAACATAATAATTAAAGATAATTATTATAAGATAATTATCTTTATAATTATTATAAAGATAGAGATAAAATCTGAGAATTATACGATATGTTTGATCAATAATTTATCACGTTAAAATAAAAGAGCAACAAATTCAAACGTGACAAATGAAAACAGCATTCACTCATTTTCCCCAAAAGCTTGTCTCCAGAAACTTAATCGCTTCTAATAAGCAAAGCTTAAAGACACATTAAGACATTCGATATTTCAGCACCTTCTCAAGATACTTTAATAGAACAGCTCCCCGGGAGACGTTTTCCTAAATCGTTCCCTCCATATTTAACAATTTACCACAAACAGTTTGTATCGTTAAACTTAAGACCAAAGCATCTTTCTCCAAGAAATAGTTTCGGAGCAACGCACGCACTTCAGCAGAATCTTAACGGATACTTAAATCAGTAATAATTCCCATAACACTCGTAACGATTGCAAACCTGGACCCATAATGATTCGTGACTAAGTGTTCGAATCAGGATAGTCTTGAGTTTCCGGAAGTAATGGCCAGGAGATACTAGATTGCCGATGAGATCCTCTGCAACATTCGATAGATAACGATAATTTGTCGCCTGTGGTTGGATTCATGCAGCAGGTTCTGCACTTAATTATCTCAGCCGCATTCTGACTGAATCAATGACGGCGTGCCATAATCGAGGGTTAAGCAGTCAACAAACGACATATGCGTTTGTGAATTTTAACTGGCGATGCGGAATTTCGAACGCTACTATTGAGAACATTCTGGAGTGTCCAATTACGGTATGAGGAATTGGTATTTGAACTGTATTTATGATTGAGGTGATGGCTTACAGTGCAAATTGGAAATGCGTTTTGGATAGAAATATTGGCGAACGCATTAAGCGGTTGCTCTTTAATTCATTTAAAATGTATGGATTCCATGATTTTCGGTAGTTAAGGTATGAAACTACAGGCTATTGAAGTTGGTTAATGCTTAAAGCAAATAAAATCGTTTATTTTTAAAACGACCTTTTTTTTTATTTGGAATTTTGATACATGTTTTAATTCCTAATTTTTAATCCCCTAGTTATTACGTGAGCGCATGACGGGGGTGGGGACGCGTGATTTGCTTATTTTTGCCGACAGGAGAAGAAAAGAGGTATGAGCAATGCTTACGTAAGAGAAATTAAAGCCCCTTTATCTTCGGAATTCAAAAGTGAAATAAAAATAACAACAAAAAAAATTAAAATTTAGAATAAAAATAGGATTGGAGGAAATTTAAAGGAAAATAAAAGGTCAAGATTAACCATTTTGAACCCAAAAAATCTGGAAAAATATCCCCCCCCCCTAAAATTTTGTAAAATTAATTGAATTGTGTATTTTGTTTACATATTTTATTTGAATGTCATCCTCAAATTAGATAACTACTATATATGTCAGAGTTGAAGTACATTGCGACATGCTTACGTAAGCAGGGAAGGAGTTTGGGATTTGCTTATTTATGTTGCCTTAGGGGGGTATTCAAATTTGTCAAAAATATGCGTACGTAATATTTTAACGGTACCTTATAGGAATCTGAAAAAAATTAACTACTCTTTGTTTTGACAAAATGCACCAAAAATGTTTTTATACTCATATTTAAAAACAAATCATAAAAAAGGATCTTTATCTTTTAAAAAAGTAACATTATTTATTTATTTGCTTATTTTTTTAGTTATTTTCTTAATTTATTTCCGTAAGAGATATTGCTCAGTAACAAAACAAAGGAGGCATAATAATAGGAAATAATAACAGCAAATAAAGGAGTTATTTTTTACTTTTACAACCAAAATTAACTTTTACAATAAGTTTAATTTAAAATTCGTTTTTCTAATTTTTTGAACTATTGAAGATTGTCTATTTCTCAAGAACTAATCATGGATAACTTAAGAAAATCGATAAAAGTGGTTTTTTGAACCAAATATGAACAAAAAATGATAAATATATTTTTTAAACAAAACAAACTGCTCTGTAATTAATGCTAACTATTAAGTACGCCGGATGTTCCATTAGGTCCACCTTCAACAAATATTTTTAAAATCTTTTTTGAAAAATTTAGTCAAAAATTATACACATTAGGGTATTTTTATAGAATTCTATTTCCATTTTTCGTTTGCAAACTTAACGTTTTGTATTTCAAATCACTTTTGTTTCTTTTCATTCACGTGCTGCAAGTATTGAAAATGGGAAATTTTTGAGTGCAAAGAAATTTGCGGACTATTATTTCCAAATTGTATATTTTTGAAGCGAATGATGTTTTAATAAAGAAGTACCTTACAGTTTTAGTTTCTTGGGGTGATTTATTTAATATACATTACGGGTTGTTACGTTATTATATAAACGTTATTATGCAAACGTTATTTTATAAACCAAGACGCTATTACATACGTTAGTATATAAACCAAAATAAAACTAGAATATCATAGAAACTAGAATATCATAGAAGCTAGAATGTCATAGAAATAACTAGAATATCATAGAATATATAAAGAATTACAACTTCAGAATGCGAGACAGAAAATATCCAAATCAGTTTTACTGCTTGATGAAACACGGAAATGTTTGTAGTAATCATCATTCTACTCCAATCTGTTTCGTGCGTCAATGTTTCAATGTTTTTAGTTACATCTTATTATAAAATTATAATATATATATATNGTTGTAATTGTTTTGTTATATATATATATATATATATATGGTGATATATATCGTTTCGGCGCATTTGATATTTGTTATTAAGATTTTATAGTTAGCAACAACCTTCCAATGCTGGATCGAAAATGAATCGAAATAGATAGAAAAAAAAATGAATTGGTTCTTAAGACTAATGAACATTTAATGAGCCGTAACGACATTACTTTCTGATCCCCCATTCAGAAAAAAAGTATAGTTAAAACCCCCAGAATATGGTAAAATTTTCCATGCTTCTGGCTCTATGGGAACACCAAAAAGCTTAGGTAGTAAGTAAGGTGTTATAATATGTGATAAAAAAGTAAGGTGTTATAATATGTGATAAAAACTAATAAAAATTTACCAAATGAATGGTTTAAATAGCGTATATTTTGATTTTATAAACCAGTATGCTTTTTAAATTTATTTTCTCTATTTATTTACTTATTTATTTTACCAAAAATTTCTTTAACATACTGTACGGTAATTTCACTTGAATTTCTTTTTCCGTATACTATGCAGTATTTCACTATTTCTGTCAATTCCATATTTTTTTTTTAATATTTTACTATTATTATGATAGTGAAAATTATTGAAACCTCAATAAGACTTCTCGAAATCGTAAACTATAAATGTTTGAAATTCCCCTAATAAAATGTTCCTACTTTTAATAAAAAAAAAATTTAGCAAAATTATAAAAAAGTAAACTTTCTACAACATAAAATGAAATTTATTTTCTTTAAGTTAAATAGAAAATGAAACTCTTATTATGAATTAAAATGAAACTCTTAACTTAAGTTTTTAAG